CCCCCGCCACCTCCTCCCCCACCCCCTCCACCATTAGATCAAGGAATGCCTAATGGATTATTAAAGACAAGTCAATTAGATGAAGCTAGTATATCTTCAAGTGGAAGTACTGTCACCAATGTATCAACCTCATTGGGAAAAGCTGAAACAGATCGCAGTGCTTTACTCAATGAAATCAGGATAGGAACAAGTAAGTTTGAAGTTATCTTCTATTTCTGTTTTTAATTCTTGTGCAAAGCACAATATATTATCTTTAAGTTAAAAAAGATCTAATTTTCTAGGCCAAGTTTTTGATTAATTACTGAAAAAACCGGGGTTGCTTGGTTAGTAAGGCACTTCTAAAGGGGTAGTGATTCAAGTATCCTCTGGTTAGAAACATGCTGATATCACTACTAGTACTTTGGAGTGTCAGCCAACAACACCTTTCTGCGTTACTGGATTGCTCAGAGTCTAATTTACTAGTTTTCAGCATATCAAGACTAATTTAATGTGAGATAAAAAAGAATAGACCTATATACTTCATGTGTACTACTTCCTTTAATTTTAGCAATGTTTCAATTCACATACCGAAATCAATCACAAAACAATGTTATATTATAGGATTGAAGAAGTTAAATAGATTAGAAGAAAAGGAAGAAAAGAAGAAGATGCCATCAGGAAGATTAGATGTACAAGCTATTATGGATAAAGCATTTGAAATGAGAAGGCGTGTTATAGAAGATAGTGAAAGTGAGGAGGAAAATGACTCTGATGAAAATGAATGGTAGACCCATATCTAGTGTATGTGATTTCATTCAGGGCTAAGAATGGTGTTCAACGAAAACAAATAAATGTGCAAAACCAAAATTTAAAACCAACATTTCTGAAAATGTTCATAATCCTGTGACTAATTGTGAAAAATTCAACATTGGAGATGGAAGTAGGATTGATGGACCTGTTTAAGAGATTGTCCACAAATGAAATTTTTCACCTGTTCTGTGGAATTTTATTTTTCCAACACAACTGGTGTAATTTTCATTCTGAAATGATCAAGTGGAATCGGAGATATTACTCTTGACTAATGTAAGACAAAGTGAAAGAAACAGGCACAACATCATAGTAGCCAATATACACGAATAAGTATTAATTGGTGTTAAACATGACCAGGTGAAGGTTGAAATATAACTGATCTGTGATGAGATACAGAAAAAATGAAGAAATGAAATGAATAAATGGATCTAGACTATTAGTGCTATTCTTAGTGCTTTGACCAATGTAGTAGTATTTTTGAAGTATAGTATAGTGTTAAATAAAACAGCTCAAGATGATAATATAGATCTAACATTATATTTAATTGATATATTATTATGACAATTTTTTAACGAGTAATTAAGTATTTTTTAATTACTATGTATTTAGAATTTTTCTATATTGTGTATGCAACCAAAACTGTGCGGGTGTAATTACTTCTATGTATATTATTATATTTCTTATTATAAATGACTTGTTGGATGAATGAAACAATGTACTATTTCTGCAAAATTTGCATTGCAAATTGTTCAATTTCAAAATGTCATATTGCAGACTATCTTTGATATTTTGAAACTTTTAATTTGTCAGAATTCATTCATTAAAATTTACTTATTAATCTTGATTAATATTTGATAAAATTATACAAGAGACTTTGAGACTAAGTGGATATTCTCATCAAAGTTTAGGTTTGCACTACAGATTTCTTATTCAGCGGTAATAGACAATTCTTTCATGATATTTTCAAATGGCAATGATATTTTCCATGTTATGTTGTGAAAAAAGAAATGATGGCTGTATTTTTATACTTACGAAATTTTCAAAATACATGATGTTAATGCGTTATTACCTTCAAATTTCACTCAACCAAAGAAATATTATTCTTTTATTTCTGTTTACTGTTAGCAGAGTAGATTTCGATGATCAAATAAAACATTTCAGAGCTGTTGATCTTTCAAAATTATCACCAATCGAATTTCCAAACTACCTTTCTGTAAATGCTCTAATTTAAAACAGTCTAATTTCTACAGTTAATTCTATGAGTGATTGAACATAGTAATGAATGAGACATAGGGTTTTATAGGTATTAGGTAGATTAAAGGTACTGTCTGTAAGATAACATTGTTACCTTGTAATTGTGTATATATCAACAATGGTATACTGTATCTTTAACAAATTATTAGTAATTCCTGAAATATTGATTACAGAAGATTTTAAACATAACCAAGTAACCAACAATAAAGATTATGTTCAGCAGACATGTTAAAAGAGGTTATGTAACAATAGGACAATTTACACCATTATTGTTTCCTAACTGAAGACTGTTGTTCCTGTTTTTCTAGAAAATTAGACCAGATTATATGTCAATTTACCAAAGCAACAGCCTTGATTAAATGTCATTTGCAATCTTGTGATGTTTTCTGGAATTACAGGAACCAATGATGCAAAACCTTTTAAAAACCTCTCAATGTATTTAATGGCAAGTCACTGGTATTAAGCAAATGACTCTATCTGCTCATCAAGGTAGTCGAGACTTCATAAGATCATACCTGTTTCTTGTTAAACTCTCCTTTGATTTTCACTGTTGAATATTGGATCAATACTGCAAAAAATGGTTTGTATCAAGCCCTCCTTACTTCAGGTATCTGATTGGTCAAATAATTAAAATGAATTTTGAATAGAACATAATAAACCAATAATATTGTAACATTTCTTAAAATCCGGAATTTACTGTGAAACAGGGCCCTATTAGTTGGTTTTCATCAATTAATGTTGTGCCCATCCATCTTGTATTGTCTAAACACATTCCAGCTATTGTTGAATACATCATGAACTGATACAGTCATTTGCTTAAAACCAATTGATTCTGTATGGACAGTTTAGAAATTAACATTATGTAGCTATAATGGTGACATTAATTTAGAGCTAATTGTTGAATGATATAGCTGTTACCCAAAATGTATGAATTTATTATTTAAATATATGTATATATTATGGTGTGATGTAGTCGCATTTATTATTTTCGCTTTTTTAACACACAGTATATAGACAGAAAGTTATTTAATATACGTCTGCTAAACAATTTGTGTTATGCCAAATTATATTTACAAGGGTAGGTTTTGTCAAAACCCCGAAAAAGAAGTTATTCAAGGGTGTAAATTATATTAGATACATGTGTATCAAATGAAAAAGAAACAAAGAAGATATTTTTCATTTTTCAAAAGAGACAGTTATGTTTAAATTTGAAACTACAATTTGTTGGTGTGGAAATTGTTAGTAATGGATATTAAATAACATTCTGTTCTTTCAAGCATATTAATATATATATAAATCTCAAGCTTATATCGGCTGATATTCATAATAATTGTATTTAAATATAAACCACATTTACATGTATATAGCTGAAATTATCATGTGTATTCTGTGTTCTTTTCTGTTAGCATTTCTACTCTACTTTTATATCAGATTTACTCTTGTCATTCTCTGTAATCTGAATAAGCTCTCACATGACTGTTAAATTTTCAGTTCTCTTAATTATTTGCTAAACAACTGTTAAGTAATGATCTATTTTTCAAAACCAAAAATATATCCTGACAACTAAGTTTGTTTCATTAGATGCTAAGTGAATAAGTTGATGATTAAATTCATTTTCAGACTAAGTGACTTATTGAAATGCAGCTATTGATATTTTTTATTTTTCTTTACGTGAATGCACCTTTCTCTTAAAGGTCAATGTAGAATCTTGTGAATGTATGAAATATAAGATCATTAGAAATTGTCTTCCGGTGTTAATGCTGAAAATTATGTGCAATAATAAAATATGGTCACCGAAGATTTCCAAAAATAACTCAGAATGAGAGTTCGCCATTGACTTGCCTGAAATAAAAACTGATTCTCTTATTGTACTTTTTTGTTATAATTAAGGCAAATGATAAATTCACATGTATTATTTCACAATTACCATTTTTATATTGAACAGGTTCTAGATAATTTCTTTTTATGGTTTCTAAACAAAATTGTTAGACATATTTTCTATCTTCAGATGCTTAGTAAATTCCTATGGTTTATGAACTTATTACCTAACAATAAAGAATGAATTGAAAAAGCCTTGTTTCTAAGATATCAGTCATTGTTATATTTTGTTCCTATTCACTATGATCTACAATGATTTTAACTTGTATATAAACACATTGTTATGAATAGTCACTGTTATATTTCATTATTTGTCAATATGTTTGTTTCTTTTCTGTACAGTATTACATTGACTACAAGCCTATTACACTCTCATAATAAGTTCAAGTTACTTCTCTTTACAGACACAGAAAGGAGGGTATATCCTAGTCAAAACTCTCCAACCACTTTCTCAAAAAACTCACAGAAAAGGCATTGTCAAAGGAAATTGCATACTTTAACAGCTCTTGTGGCATGGTATGATTATAAATTACAAAGAGCTGTATCCTCCATTTTTCTGTCAGAATTGTCAAAATGAAGATTTTTGTAATCCTCAGCTAGACTTATATAAAGCCTGAGGGAGACTTTAATAAGGAAAGAAATGACTTCCTTGAAAATACCATTTCTTAGTTATATGTGGCCTGCATGATTTCACATCTCTAAAAGGAGTACGAAGATAAATTTTGGAATAAGTCCTAAAAAGATAAATGTGAAAATACCATACATTTAAATAAATTCAAATTTTTCTCTACATTTGATGGCTTTATTTATTTGATATCAAGTTGTTTCTCATTTCAAAGATTGACTTTATCCATTGATTTTGCATTGGGAGCTTATTTGGAATTTTTTTAAACATTGCCTTTTGAAGTTGTAATCATTTGTTCTTTTTCTCTTGTTTCATATATTGTAGTTTTGTCTATCCCTGAAATAAACCTTCTGTTCAATGAAGGTTTCCATGTTACTAGATGATGAATTTGACTGTCTATGGAACATTGCTTTGTTGCTGCTAGATCTTACTATATGGAAACCTGTTTATGGTGTTTTGTATGTAGATAATCTATCTAGTTATTTATTTCTATTGTGTATGTTTTGTAAAGTGTATATCACATTTATCTTTGTATAGTATTTTGTTTTCAAGTTATCTGTTTTCATTATTTTATGCTGATAATGCTATAATGTATCTTTATTGCTATATGATCATTCAAGGGAAATCACCTCTGTCCTGTCAAAATCTATTGTGGATTGTGCTTAGGTGAACAGGATTGAAAACTTTATTTCAGGATAGGGTAGGTAATATTCTGTACTTTATTATTTCAGCTTACTTAAATATAAAGTGTTAGGGATTTTTTCAATTTAAAAGTACAATGATATCTGCACTATGGCTTTGGAGTCTTTTCTATATTTCACTGATCAAGCTAGATATTTGTTATATCTTTATAAACCTAGATATTATTACTGACTGTGTATATTTACTAGAATCTATCAGTTTTAACAACTTTCAGAATTTATAGCCTCAATATTTATTTTACTGGCATTTTCAGCAATAAACTGCTTTTTTCTAGTATTTCTTTTTGAATAGATTATGGTACAGGTTTATCCTTTCCATTTACTGTTGGTACAACAATAATAGTAAAACCTTCACTTGAAGAGTCAAATGTAGCAAACTCTCTGTATATAGGATAATTATCAACAATGTTATACATGAAATGGGCACTGGTACGGATTCCAAATTATACGATGCTTTCCTGTTTTTTTTTTTCGTCTTGATTTTCAGTCTACCTGTCCAAAATGACTTCATCTCTATACATATTTACAGTTTAATTTACAAAACATTAACAATATAACAGAACAATGTAAAATACAAAAATACTATATTTTAGATTTACGACCACACACACAAATCCTTGGACCATCATTTGCAAAAAAAAAAAATCAGTGGCTTTAATTTTATTCCAGTTGCATAAGAGAAGCTTTCAATACTAATTGTGGAATTGATCAAACCTATTGGTTAAGAGGCCTAAAAAGCAACATTATTTATTCCTTGTATCATTTAAAGGATTGTCCACAACTGATTCATGTATCATTATAAATAATGGAACATAAGTTAAAAAGTCAAATAAATCTAATGCTTTAAGATGACTGAGTTTTTTGCGTACTTGACATTCATGTTGATAACTAACACCTCCAGCTCTTAACTCAATTATTAATTGTTCTATTGGTATAGTATTGGTTTCTCGATTTACATTACATTCCCATAATGTCTGAAATACAAAACAACAGTTAAAAGACATGATCAAAAAGTCGCAATGCATCATCATTTATATGAATTCCTTCACATCTGAATATAGTTTTATGCACACTTCAGCAAATCTTCAAAGAAAATGTACACAAAATAGTAGACTTACCTTACAGAGAAACAGTTTCATTTCAAGAGTCTGGAAGTCCATTTGACCAATTATATTCTTCATCCACTCACTGAAACAATGATCATAGCTCAATATAAATATATACTAGTCTGTAAGGACAAAAATGCAACAGTGATCTTTTTTCTTTTACTGTTGTGAAACATGTTCCAAGCATAATCTATAAGCTCAATGAACGAGCACCTTGCTTATTATAAGTAGTAGTCTCCTACTGCTAGAAGGCCACAGAAAACAAACTTTATTTGAACAATTTTAATTCAGGGACTAACACTTACTCTAAGAGTGATATTCTAGTTGATAAAGCAGCTAATATAGAAAATAATTTAAAATCGGCACCATGAGATACATTATAGCCAGTCATTTCCATCACCTGAAATAGAACATTTGGTATTCACATCTTGGAAAATTAACTATCAGTTATATGTACTCTTAGTGGGATGATGAGTTGATAAACTCTAGAACATGCCCTTCTTAATTAGCAACACCCACCTCAGTACTAAGTCTAATAGGGTTTGAATTCAATAAAATGTTTTGAATTGAAGACATGTTGAATAAGACCAATTTGCCCACTAGCCAAGATTTTGGCCTATTGGTTTGTTGGTCATACAATGAGGCAAATCTAGACATTGTTCTGCAACTTTTTTAGAACTATAAATCTGTAGACTGACCCTGTATAAATATTCTTCTTCTGTATAAGTTAATTTATTATTAATACTACGTAAAGCTACCATCGTTCCAGCACAATCTATCCATCCTGTTCCATTTTCATCCACCTACAAAAGGATAAAATTAAATGGAGTTTTACAGCCTATGTTTGAGGATGGAAATACAGTTACCATCTTGATCTAAAAGATTTCCATCTGGTAAAGGACCTAATGTTCACAGCTTGTAGCACAGTTTATGATTCAGAGGACTAAATCTTCATACAACCTGCATCACTGACAATGGGAAAACAGTTTAAATTTTATATTGTACATCTCAAACAATAAATCAAAGGATAAATCTGATTTTAGGTCAACCTGAAGAAAACTCACTCTTTAATCCAACAAAGTTTCAAATAGGTAAAACATTTATTACTAAATCATAACTTACTGTATTGAAAGCATGGTGAAGCATATCTTTATTGGTTGCAGCAAATATACAATATTTAGACAGAAAATCATCTGAAACAAAAATATACAAAAACTATGTCTGTGAACTGTATGTAACTCTATTTAATGTTCATGTTATATTGTCTGTCCCTACTACAGGGTTTAATCAAAGTTTGATGAAACATAGTATAAGTATTGCACTAAGAGCACCTGCTTTCATCATAACATTTTGTGGTTCCTGTTACTCTCAAATAAAAATAAGTGGGCCATATTATGACAATTTTTTCTTAAGTTTTACATAAACAACAAAAACCACAGATGTCAGATAGAAAGCTAGAAGACCTCTTATAAGCATTTCATTTCATAATATTCAGATACGAATTTCAACTATTAACACAGTGTTAAATAGAAAACATGTCAACCAATTAAATAATCATTGCAATTATAGTTTGTAAACTACTTACAGTCACCAAAAGATGCACCATTTTTACCATTTTCTTCCTTTATATCTGTATTCCCCATCTTGGACAATTTTAATTTCTCATACATTAACATTTGTTTTTTACGTCGTCTTTCAGCTAATTCAGCTCTGCGTTGTTCATCTTCATAAGAAGTATCAAATTTCTTTGCACCCCAGCGTTTTTTATTTTCAGTAACAGGCATTAACTTTTTGTTGATCACATGAGTTTTTAATGGTCGTTTTTTGTCGTCTATAGTCAGTGTGGGTACATCAGGGGTAGTAGGGAGAGCAGCTGGATCAAATTTAATTGTTCTAGATGGACTTCCAGATTGGACATCAATCTCTGATCCTGAGTTGGAGCCATAGATCCAGGATGATTGTTTACGTAGTGAAAGATCTGGTCCTTCTGGTAGATTGTCTTCTGTTACTTCATGTTTGTCACGGGCAACTCTTTCTTTCTTCTTGATAGGAGAGCGAGATTTTTTACTCATCTCCTCATCTCCCCCATCTTCTACAGATTGCTGGAAAATAGTTTTTATTAATTGAAAGCATTAAGATATATGTTATTGCTCCTTTTTAAGTTTTTAATCTTAACATGGTACACAAAGTAACATCATATTTTACAGCCAACTGTCATCTGTCAATGATGCAGGTTAGAGAAGGATAAAGCATCTCGTCATTCAGATAGGACAATAACCTGAGGCCCTATTGGCTGCAAGCTGTACACATTAAGTATTTCAAGACATAGAAAAATAAATGCTTATACAGTTTTCCTTTGGCACATTTAAAAGGTTAGTTCAAAATATTAATAAGTCACTAGTCAACACTTACTGTATCACGTCGTGATTGTGGTGGTGTACCAGGTTGATCTGTTTGTGTATCAACAGATTTATCTACTGGTGTAGTTGGTACTGACACAGGTGGTGGAGTTATAGCTAGATCTTCTGGTAGTGATACGGGTAGTGGTTGTGGTTTAATGATTTCTGAAAGTAAATACAACATGGTGTTTTATTTTGTCAGCTTATGAGCTTGATGGTTTTTCCCATTCTACTTAATTTGTTTAAGATTTTTGAATGGGAAAATACACTAATATTAAGTTGAAGCTGTAAAATTGCAGCAAAACCTTGGCAGTAGATTTTTGTATTCTCAAATCTTTCCATATCACTTGCCAATATACAATATAATTCATACAGACAAATATCAGTAATACATAAATATCATGTTTGGGCAGAATACAAAGAAAGTAAACTTTTTGAAACATAAAATGATATGAACACATGACATATAAATCAATTTGGAACACTTAATACATGACTTTAAGCACATAGTATATGAACAAAATAAATACAATGTCACAGATGGCACATTAATCTAATATTGAGTTTAAACTGAGCCTAATATACAAATGTGCAGAAGAAACATGCTACATAATATACTGAATGCACATACACACATTCCTACACATAGCCATAAATTACATACATTATCAAACAAAGAAATAAATGCACATTCAGGAACTAAGCAGTAGCAGTCAACTTTAATTCCAGGTTCATGTAGTATAAACTTATCTATATCTGGATTGTATACTGTAGTTTTAATATCCACTTAATCTACCTTATAATGTTAACTACTTGTATTTAGATTTTGGAGAGTTACCGAATGCGCACAAATATCTTTGCTGAAGTATAAATTTGGGAAACAACCACATTTATCTACTACATGTACTAAGTATACTTTTGATTTACTAATAGAAAGCATTAGTGCTTCTAAATGTCGTTCAAATCTTATATCAGTATAGTAGTAAATACATTATGATTATATAAATTAGGCAATATTAAGAAGTATAATAAAAAGGTTTAACAATACTGATACAACATAAGATAGTAAGATAAAGGAACCTCTTTTGGGCTTAGTTGTATATCCATGGGTCAAGACTGGTCCTTTCACCACAGGTAATGGTGGTAGTGGAAGTGGTTTGATAATTTGTGGTACTGGTACAGATATAGTAGATATCATTGTTATTGGTACATCATCATGTACTTGTACATCAGCCTTTTCCATCTTGTGTACCTGCCTCTGGACTTGTTTATCTAGTTGCTTACTTTTCTGCTTAATTAACTGCTTACTTAACTGCTTCTTGAGCCGATTCTTTGGCTGCTTAGTAGTTTTTAGCTGCTGTTCCTGTTCTTGAGGAACTGGATCGCTTTTAATCTGTACCTTGTCCTGTTCCTTAGGATTTGTTATATTAGTCTTGGATTTTTCTTCATTTTTAAAAATAATCCGAGCAGCTTGGAGAGAAAATATGAATGTTGAGAAAATTGTCTGAAACAATGCAGTGAAAAATATTTCTAGTATTTTTAAAATTGTCAGATGAAAGACAAAAATCTCAAAAGAAACTACCTGAATCTTGTTTCTTCTTTAAGCCAGATTTCTTTGATTTTGATGATTTTAGTTCAAATTTCGGTAATGCTTTCCATAATTTGTCTTTTGGTTTTTGCTGAGGTGCAGCAGGTCTTGAAACTGGAAGAAAAAATATTGATAAAAATTCATGATATTTCGACCTAATAAAATTAGTAAAAATAATAACACTGTATAATAAATTTGCTAATATAACACGACTTAAATTGAAAAATATATTTCCAAAACCAAGTTAAAGAATTACCTTTTGTTGCTTTGTCTTTTTCTGAAATGAAAAATATATTCAGTAGTAAAATACAGTTCCATAAACAAGTATGACTGTGCTATTTCAGCAAAATGATTCTAAGAGTATTTTATATATTTTATGTTCTGAGCTTAAACTGATAGTCTCAATCTGGACAGTTGTCCCACCAATAAGTCAGTCTGCACCATATTTGTACTCCAACCGCAAGACAGCTTGCATATGTATTCAGGAATTACAATTCATGTCTCTAACTTAAAAAGATACAAACAAATATTTTTCTGGGTGAGTTGGTAAAACAAGATAGTGATATAATAATGTTATAATAGTTAAATACAATGTATTAAAATGTTGCAATTCTAATTTAAAGGGATATAGTCATCTAATCTGGTTTAAATTTGTCTGCAGTTCAATAAAGTCTCTAGGCTACGATGATGTTCTCTTGTGACATTGTCAGTAATATCTGCATAGAAGAACATTAATCGCAGTGACAGGTCTATTAGTGGGTACTTCGAATCTGATCTTGATGCTCATTGGTATTATTTGACCTAATTTTACTCTTTTGTATTAAAAATATTATTCTATCTTTTTATGAGAAAACCAATATACAATATCAAATTCAGCAAAATCAATGAGGCAGAAATGGAATTAGTCAAATAGAAAATATATTCAGAAATAAATTACAGCATGACTGCTATTTCAGTAAAATGATTCTAAGAGTATTTTATATATTTTATGTCTTTCCTATATCCCTTTAAATTTTATATATGTTAAAGTAAACACTTGGAAATGTTAATTTTCAAACGACACAAAAATTTAGTTATCAAATGTGCAAATTAGAAATTATTTGTGCACCATGATACCTTTCTTTATATATAGACTAATACGTATACTTTTACGCATTAATCTGGCTGTAGCTTCTCTTATTTCATCATAGTCTATAGGTATTGGTTCTAGAAATATATGGCTGTATGTAAAGTCGCAATAAAGTATAAAAAAATATAAAATTCCAATGAAAAAATGTAAAATTTTAACTGAAAAATTATCTAAACAATGTAAAAGTTCAATAGAAAAATAAATAAAAATATTAATGAAAAAATATATAATTTCAATGGACATATATAAATTGAAAAAAAAGTTTCAATTTCAATTAAATATCAAATTAAGTAAAAAAAAGTCATTTATAAAAAATAAATAAATTTACCAGGTGCTGGTTTTTTAGGGGGGGCTTTTTTAACAGTCTCTTCTTTTTGGGGAATATTTGGTAATTGTTGCTTAGAGCTTTCTTGTTTTGTTTTTGCTGGTGTTGGTGCTTTTTGCTGTCTTCTGACAAAGAGTTTTGGTACCTCCTTTTTTGTCTTGGATTTCTCTGCATCTATAAAAAATAAAATAATTTGTTTAAATATAAATTACTGTGTTTTATTATTTATTAGGATCCAGCATTTTGATCATCAAAGTATTGTGTTTCCCTCCCATTTTATTGGTTCAATATCAAGTTTTCTGTTGGAAAGTGTTTGCTAATTAGTCAGATTGAATTTACACAGGAAGATCATAACTGCCAGATTAACTGTAAAATATCTTAAATCTACTCATATGACCCTTGTTAATAAAACTGATATTTCATATAAAATAATTTACTTTACCTAAAACAAAAATGCAGCATAAATGTCTCTTTAAATGGAGAAAAGACATTTGTGTACATTCAAATCATATCAAAAATTTTTCTGCATTTGTTTTTAGGATGGGCTCTTATAATTGATAATAAAATCACAAAATTGAACAAAATCAGAACAAAACTAACAAAATTAACAAATGAAGGGATAATTCTAACTAAAAGTCACAAAATTACATAAAAAAAGATTGATGCTGAGGACTAAAAATGGAAACAAAACAATTAATAAAACACAAATCCATCAGACAAAAATAACAATAAAGAAAATATTCAAACTTTAAGTCAAGAAAAAAGAAAACTTTCATTCAAAACCAAAAGATAAAAACTGAATGCCATTAAAGAAGAATACTATGCAATATTACCAGTTTTAATATTTACTGCTACACTACTAATAGCAGTAATCACTGACTGACTAGAGTCACTAGCTACTACTATTTGACTTGGAGAATGATCACTATGTTCAGGTTGAGTCTCTTTAAAATGATTCTCAAGTTCCTCTGCAATGATCTGCTTGACAAATTCATGGATTTCTTCTGAATCTATATGTAATAGATACACCTATTTCAGCATGCAGATGGTAAAACAAGAAACTTTCAACCAGTTTTATGAAAATTGAACTGTTTAAGATTCCAAAATCAATTGAAAATGAGCAAATGAAAAGCACCGACATCAACATGGTTATTTCAGCAAAATATCTTTGTAAATACAAAAACAAAATTCTGAAGTAATTCATATTCTCTTATTCTCACAAACTAGTTTTTTAACAACAGGAATAAATCAGATTATAATAGCTATATTTAAAGCCACTGAATGGAATTTTCTCTCTTAAGAAGAAGAAATTCACTTAAAATGATTTACAAATAATTTGTATCCAAAGTCTGGTTATTTTCAATGTATAAGTCCACACTTACGACTAAGTTTCAGGACAGTATATTTCATGAAATGGTTACTAGAATATCTAGTCAATAAAAGTAGACTTACAAAGTAAATAAAGATGCATCATGGTATCTTACCTGATTCTGAAGAGTGTGTATCTAAACCAAAAACTTCAGTTATTTTGTCTTTATACTGTTCTTCTTTTTCATCTTTAAATGAGACATTTTTCTGACTGTCCCCATCCACAATTTTAACATCTTTTAAACTTGGTATAGGTGAGGAAGGACTGGGGACATTTCTGGATACATAGTCATTCCGGGCTGATAGTGGTACAAACTGAACTTCTGAAATTTAAGCAAAATTATTGAAAAACAACCTTCTTGTCTGATTACAACATCTTGGTCAAAAGCTTATTTTTCCTGATTTTCTAATATCTAAAATAAGTAAATAACATGTTTTTCAGAGATGACTTTACTCAGAGATTCTATAAAAAATTAACAACTTACTTCTCTGAGCATGTGTGTTGCATAAAGGTGTAGAATAAGCTTTTCTTTGTGCTCTTTTTGATGGTGATTCAGAACGTAGTTTTTCTCTTCTGTCTAAAACCTGTAGAAAATATATTCATTCATTGCAAGGCCTATATCTTGAAAAATGCCTTAATCATTTGGTATTCAAATCTATGAAATGAAGTTCATTATTATTTGCATAATTCGGTTCTGCATCTGATTGAGCCAATAATAATAGTGAAAATTCTGCAATGACTCAAAGGAAATTTTTCTTTTATTCAATCAAGAGGTCTTCAAGCAACATCTTTGCATTCATCTTATCTTCTTAATGCTGTCTTATAAGTACAACTGCTTGACTATAATCCTACACTAAAGCAAAGGAACATGAACTGAAATGTCCCAAGAATAATTTCATAAGTTGTGTTTCTGACTTTGGTATGCACAAATATAAAGATAAAGAAACAACACATCATGTACATTTTACATTCCAAAATAAGAAAATAATACATGAAAAGTAAAATAGCCATCAAACAAAGACAATTATTATATAATTTAGTATTCAAATCTTAAATATTGATTGCCATGCAATAATAAACAAAAAAGCACAGTACCGGTATTAAAAATATGATTCTTGTGACTAGACATCTTAAAATTCACAGAAAATAAAATGCCCTAAGAACATCAACAAAGTTAAAGAAACTTAAAACAAAACCTGTACTTAAATCTAGATTGAATAACAACAACTTTGATAAAACATAAGATTTAAAACAACAATATCATGCATACAGCAGAAACACAAGATACAATATACCGCTCTTCTGTGTAACTCTGATTCTATATTTGGTTTTCTTCGACAAGTACATGCTGATAGTTTTCTTTTATAATTATACATATGATCTTCATAGCGGTGACATTTCAGACATTTGTGTATTTTCCGACCCTATTAGAAAAACTATAAACTTGACCAAAACAATACTAGATATATGCTAAGTAGGCAACATATAAGAAATACATGGTGGTCAAAACCAACAGAAAATTGCAATTTGTTTTTTAGAAATACTAAAATATTAGTCAGAATGTCAGACATGATACAGTCGCAAATTGATTCACAAAATTCAAGGTCAAAAGGGAAATGTCACATTACCTCTGTAGCAGTAAACAACTTCTCTACATACGGTGGATTGTTAATAAAACTAACATAGGGCTTGCTCTCTTTTAACTGAAATAGAATGAGGGAAAAAAAGAATAAATGGAATAAATGTTCGATAAAACAGATTCCAGAACAATCACAGAATATACATGCTCTGTACTCACCAAAATTTTGCCAAGACATATAGAGCATGATCATCCTTTTATGAATATTGACACAGTTTGGTGACAAAGTACATTTTATTAAGTATTTTTTGAAACCTTATGAAAATAAGTAGAAAATACAAAACATACAGAATTTGTGTAGCAAAAATGTTTCATAAACCACAGGATGGACATATATTGGGCATTCAGAAACATACAGATGTGGGCTATAAATATCAAATTATATTTTATGAGTGTTTATTCCCAATGGGAACATTATGGATTTTTCAAACCACTTTAAGTAGCAGATTTCGTGAGAATTGTTATGATGAACTAAGTGTGGATGTATAAAAGTAAGTAAATCAGCCAGTCAACCAGATAATATTATCTGATAAATTTTTTGGGGTATCTTGAAACTTACAGTCCATTTGTCTTTTGATCAATGGTCCTAAACAAATCCCCTCTATTGATATAATAAGAATAGAATTATTGAATATTAGAAATGATTTGTAGTGTATATAAAGATAAAGAAAGATTAAAGATTATCTATTATATAGAGATTAGTAAAAGATTAATAGAAGTATTTTATTATCTATCTATACACAATACATGTCTTATTTACAATTCACTTTTATATCAATGTTTACCAACTTGTTGTCATTCTCAATTCAGTTGTTTATATATAGCCTATCTTGAGATTGATCACTTGATCACAAATGGAAACCACGCTACTGGAAAAAACTGAGAGAAACTGCTACCGCTAGTGGTTTCTAGTAGAATCTGATATATCATAGCACCAACTACTTTAAAGATAGCTTGCCAGGCAAGGTAACATGTGCCTACTACCAGCTGTCAGAAATGATAAGGTTTTTAGTGGCTTTATAATGAATTTTCAAATAATCTTATGTATCTTATATAATAAATATTTATAAGTTAAGACAAAGCCTCAAACACAGTTTTCAAATTATCAAATTCAAATATGAACAAGGTCTCAATGATGTACACACAACGGCGTAATAACTCCAAAACCATTCATCCAATTATTACTTATTTCAAACTTGACTGGTTCTCATCAATAAATACATGTATACCAAGATTCCTCAAGATCAAATAAAAACTGTAGTCTCCATCCTGTGCCTACAAGCCAAATGTGGACAGATGGTCAGAGGCGACAGCAATATACGTCCACATTTTCATGTATCAGGGGGCTGATGAAAAAAAAGACTTCTATTAAAACATCCTGCCAGGCACAGTAGCACACTTTCATGCCAGAAAGTTTGTCATTATTGGTTGGAGGAAATCATCTGTGGACTAAACCATTTAACACAAAAATCACAAGAATATACATGTACATATTAAGAATATAAAATTTTTTATTAATCAGATAGAAACTGCAGTGTTTATCCACAAATTTGATATGTTTTGGCTTATTTCGGGATAACTCAAAGATAGCTTGCCAGGTAAGGTAACATACGCCCACTGGCAGCTGTCAGAAATGATTAAACAGTCTTTAGTGACTACAGGGTTGCACAATATAACTAATAGAGTGAAACGTCAAGTCAGACACGATATTTCGGTGAAATATTATCCGATCATCGCGAAAATCGATAGGGATCATCTTCATAATGACATTGACATACAAAATAAAAATCAAAAGAATCTGTAAAGAATTGTAGCCTGTAGAGTGAGCACGAGTTGCACAATATAGCTAATAGAGTAAAACGTCAGGTCAGACACGATATTTCGGTGAAAAATTATCCGATCATCATGAAAATCGATAGATCATCATGAAAATCAATAGGGATCATCTTCATAATGACATTGACACACAAAATAAAAATCAAAAGAATCTGTAAAAAATTGTAGCCTGTAGAGTGAGCACGAGTTGCAGAATATAGCTAATAGAGTAAAACGTCAAGTCAGACACGATATTTCGGTGAAAAATTATCCGATCATCACGAAAATCAATAGGGATCATCTTCATAATGACATTGACAAACAAAATAAAAATCAAAAGAATCTGTAAAAAATTGTAGCCTGTAGAGTGAGCACGAGTTGCACAATATAGCTAATAGAGAAAAACGTCAAGTCAGACACGATATTTCGGTGAAAAATTATCCGATCATCACGAAAATCAATAGGGATCATCTCCATAATGACACACAAAATAAAAATCAAAAGAATCCATAAAGAACTGTAGCCTGTAGAGTGAGCACGAGACAAATGTGAACGGACGGACGGACGGACCGACGGGGTGATTACAATATATGCCAATCTTACGTGTGGGCGTATAAAAACACTTCATTATTTCCTACCAAATTTTCATTCCCAAAGAAAGTAAATTGTACTTTGACTTACATCTTCAGTTTCAACCATCTCAGGCTCTGTTATTTGATCACATTCCAAATCTAATGACTCGGGTGAGTCACAAAAACTAGACTCAGGAGGAGTCATTTGTTTGCCTTCTAAACTAAAGTCAATCCATCCTCGAAATTTTGACCTTGATTTTGATTCTCTTGTATCTGGTCTCGCAAATAAATGTCCAATGATCACCTTTTTATTCATGATTATAATAGCACAAGAATGTTAGATTCCTTAACTTTTTGATCCAAGCCCAATGAAAGTAAAATGACAGATTATGAGAGAGCTAGTGTATACTTCAGAAGTTTGAAAAGTAAATAGATATTATCTCCTAGGAGGTGTCAAATTTTCACTTATTTGTGCAAACAATGCATTGTCATCTGTCAAACTTTGTATTATCAAAAATATCATTTTACACAAAGATGACTACTTGTAAGTGATTTTATGCTTTTCATGTTGATTTTAAACTTACAGAGATCCAGACAAGCATCTCATCTGGTAATATTATTGTCAAAATCATAATTTTGAATATGAAAAAATCATGAAGATGTTGCGAAGATATTCAAAATGATTCCAATTTCCGAAAGTAAGATGTCTGTGAGTCTTCCAATTCCACTAAAACTAAATGTTTTATGTTGTAGCTATTGCCAATGCCCTTAAATATTATTAATTAGCAGCTTTTGCAATAGTGACATTCAGTTCAGCATTTCTAAAATAACAGGAACAGATATCTAACAAAAATTTCGAATGCTGCAAAGGCCCATGAAGCTAGAGTTAAAACACTTCTTTACAAAACATTTAATTTCCTGATCATATAAAATAGTTAAGAAGGTTCAAGTGTTTTAAGTGAGCATGAATTGACAATTTTAAAGTTTGAGTAACAAATGTAACAGTGATTTGTTTTCAAGTGAGTGTGATATCTACAATAAACATTTCAAGATTCAATTCAAAGTTCTTGAAGTCTGTAATAATCACTGTTTAATAAGCATTGTTTTCTCAACACATGTACTATAAAATTTATCATATTTCTGTTTTATCATAGCATACTAAAAGTTAAACCTAAGCAAATTATTTACAAAATACTTATACCCATAAAATACAAAAAGATAGTGGATCACGTCCAAGCATGGCATGTTGTTTATGATATAATTAATTACAAACCTTTTTCTCTGATATCCAGGCATTTAATGTATCAACCCATATCAACTTTTCATCAACGTAAGGGGAAGCTTCTGGATTCTCTTCACCATGATGTAATTTAGATAAAGCAGGAAGTGATAGTGGGTATGTGACAGGATTCGAATCATAATGTATTGGTGCAATATAATTAGAATCAGGCAGTGTTGGCACTGTAGAATATGGTCTAGGAGGTAGTTGAGGACTTGGTATAGTTCCACCCTAAAAATATAACCAAATATTTTCTTTAAAGTGAACAAGTGAAAATCATTTTGGAGATCTGGAGTTTTTGTCCAATTGATACTAAAATGTGCATAGGTAAGGATACCTAATAAAATTACATTCTACTGATAGGCCTACCTGATATTAAAATTCAATGTTTGGCATATTATCCACATTTACTTTTCATGAGTAGTAGCAACAGTTGTTGCTTTTCAACTAAAAGTGATCATTCAGGTTAATTCAGGAAATGTACCAGGGAACAAGTGAGTAGATGGGGCTTTTAAAGGTGAAGCACTTATAGTCTGCCTATTCCAGGCTGGTCTGATAAATAGTAACTCACTGCATAGAAGATAGGGCAAAACAATGCAGGCATGAGGAAAAACTGGGTGCAGCATAGGACAAAAATAGGTGCAGCATAGGACAAAACAAGGTGCAGCATAGGACAAAAATAGGTGCAGCATAGGTCAAAACAAGGTGCAGCATAGAACAAACAAGATGCAGGATTGGAGATTAAAGTTAATTCAAACGACAAATAAATTACAAATAGAAAACAGAAAAAAAAATATGACTGGAAATCAAGCATCTGCTAAAAATAAAATCACCTAAAGGACGTAATTTACAATTGAATGTACAGCATGTATTCGCACTACTGACTTCCCATCCAAAATGATCAAGTTTTAATGGAATTGCAAATATGACAAAAATAGGATAAGAAATCCAAATGGTGAAAATAAAAGCTATGAGTGTGCCTGTTACAAACTTTTTACTGAAGAATGGGTACCAGTAATAAAATTAGATGACATGCACCATATTTCCAGTGAAGAAATGCAAACTGTGCAAGGAACAACAAATCAACAACAAATTGAGTGAAACACAAACAAATCTGATAAGATAACAGTCATTTATTGTTCTTACCCTACTATATCTGCCAGAATACTGAAAATTAAAGATTTGTTTAGGTACAATTTCCTGTAAAATTATTCGCAGTAGCCTAGTCTAGCTTGTCTACCATTCAGACAAGTGTTTCCCAACAATGTTGTTAGGCATATTACTTATTTTTTAAAGTATTTCAGAATTGAGTTACATATTGTCCCAAGGGCAACTAAATGTTCAAGCCTCTGTAAGTTGGTAATATCTCAAGAGCAAATGCAATTTGAGGAGAGGGGGGGGGGGAGTTTGGGGGGGGGGGGGGGGGGGGGGGTGTCAATATTATTAATAATATTCCAGATCCTTTCTGGTTTACTCACAAATGTCAATGGAGATGAACTATGTTCAATATAATAATCTCTAAGAAATTCGTAATATGTATCCTGAGCACTATCAACAGATTTCAAAACACCGACACAACTAAAACTTGGTCGTCTTTCATCCACTGCCAGTGGCACCACTGAAGAACGACCACCATATCCGAGATTTCCATGTTTGGATCTGTTTGCACTTGGTAATCTGAATGGCGTATAAAAGTTATCATCATAATTCCATGCTGAATCGTAAGATACTTCACATAATGTCGGTACTTTCGCCATTTGCCATGATTTGTCTTGACTTCATCTAAACCCAGGCTTCGAGTTTTGACACAGGAAACTTGACTTTCACTTCGGAGTCTCGATTATCCAGACACGTGCACCTGACAACTGGACAACTGAACAGTGTAGTTTCAAGTTACCCCAAAAACTGTCACTCCTTTTGGTCGATTTGTAGACCCAATGTGACCTCCGAGTGAATGGATTAAAAACCATGTCAGACTGATTAAAACATAATATAATAATTGTTATAATATAATGTAATCAGTATTAGAGATAACAATGATAACAGATAAAAACCACATAATCGTTTAAAGCCCCCTCATTTCCTACTGATATTCCGGCATGACACGTACCCGGCTTCCCTTAATTTGAGACTTTTTCTAATATTATCCCTCTGCTGTATCAAAGATATCCAGTTTTAGTGACTTTTCTGCCAAATATGAGAATGATCGACTTCAAATTGCCATATCATCGGTAATGAATTCTTCCACCAGTCGCATGTTGGTCCATTCCATTGAAACAAAGGGTAGTGTAGAAATTTAGTGAAAAAATTTAGTCCGAAAATTTGCCGTTGAGGTTGAATATATGTTACCGGTATATATCTCGATAAACTTGTAAAAAAAAAAAATAATAGAAAAAGGTCTAAAACCTGACTAAAGTCAGACCTTTTGGTGTTTTTTTTCCGATGTCTAAAATTGATAATTATAACAATCGAAATGATTGTATTTAGGCCTAGGAATAATATTGCTAAGATTGTCCGTTCAAAAGGTTTCTTTCAGTTAATCATTCTCACCAATCTTAATTAGAATCAATTCACCCGTAAACTCCATAGCCCAGATTGGTCTTATTGGTTTAAATGCGGGAAGATTTGATACTGATCAAAATATTTAAGACCTCAAACTTAACTCGTGTAGTTGACTATCACAGTCGTGACATTTTGTTATAAATTTTAGAAATATTAAATTGACTCTGGTATATCTAAGAACACAAACATTTATTACCGATATCTCACGAAGTGATAATCACAAGCCCATCGTTTTGAAGGTGTTTGGAGCGGTCAAGAAATATCATTCGTTATAAAAATTGTTGAGTTTTGACCATTTTAACACGATAGAGATTAGGGTGATTGAGGAGTAACAAGTTAATATTCAATATAAGGCACTGGCACAGGGTTAACACGATAGAGTAATTCTGAACAAACTGTGACGAATTCAACTGTGAGTGTGTCTCCGATTAGACTAATTATCACCAATCAGTGGTAATCAGGTTGAATTTTTAAAAGAATGGTCAATGAAACAATTCGGTTAGAACACTATGTGATTCGTCGTCAGTTGCACTTTCTTGGAATATTTATAAAAAAATTAAAGTTAAATTAAAGGAGTTTTACGTCCTACTTTTCTACATCTTTTGGATGAAATATTTTAGGTGAGATAAGCAAATGCGAATAGTTCACCCATGTGCCCATTTTGAAAGGGAGACCAAAATGATAACCTGCCACCACGGGCCCTACGTACATCAAATCCTTGGCTATATTATATGTTATAACATAAGATACTGAGCCTTGAGTGAGAAATTAACTGTGGTTCAAAAACATACTTACTTCCCTTTACTTAACATTAAGTTGAACGTTATAATCCTAACAGCCAACTTTTTGTTGTGACTTCCTATCAAAATTCAAACTATTTGTGTAGAGTTTTTTTTTATGAACAATATCATGTAAAGGAACTGTAATATGTGCCCACGACCCTGACCCTGAAGCGTGTGCAATACTGGAATTGGAAAGAGTTTCAATGAGATATGGACTGCTTATAACAAGCTTTATTTTTTAACAGAGGGTCTAAAAAGAAATATCTTGTTGCATTCTCCCACATAAAGACAAATATTCTCAACATTCACCAAGATATTCTTTTCTTAGTTATGAGTGCGGAAAGGTCTGGACAGAGTTTCGGACTACAAAAGGGCAAAAATTTATCGCGTGGTCATCATCACGTGATTTTTTATTGACATTATGGCGTAAAAAGACCACGCCTTCTAATATCAGCTGTCATTTCATTTTCTCATCTCCAAACCGTCGAACATGGCTGATAAAAAGCTCTCTGCAGATCTTACAACAGAAAAAGGTCGGCATGATGCAGTTAGACTGAAAGTTCGAGGAATTGATGTCATGAGAGATCCAAACCTCAACAAGGTATCTATTTTCAATGTAAATTTTTATTGTCAGTCCTTTATCATAGATGTGTCAGGTGAAAATTTTTTTGAGTAGAATTTAATCATTTTAGAATAAACATCACACATGATTTTGTAGTACTAATAGTAGGACCAGCTGATTTTTCTTTGGGTTTAGATTTTGTTGAGCTATGTCCATCCATGCAGTCCTCTTATATTAGAATTAAGATATTAAAAACGGTGATGCAATATGATGATAGTGATAAATTCTATGTTCATTCAACTCAAATGATTTACATTTTAAATTTACAATCTGTCGCAGAAATATTCTACTTAAGTAAAAAAATATTGTATCAAAAATATATGCTGAGTCATAGGTAGTCCTATATTCAGTCTAGAAAAAAAAATAATCATATATTAAAAGGAAGGTTTAATAATGATATTATTGTGTAAACTTTGATATTATGAGGTCTTTTTTGTTTTTTGGGAGAGTGCAGATATTTTACTCTTGCAAACTGGCACAGATAAAGCATTCATCAATTAAAATATTCATATTATGTTTTTATGTCTTTGTGACAAAAGTTGAAGAGAAAGAAAAGACTCCTTCACCCCAATTAGTTAAATGAGTTTTCTGTTGAGCAATTGTAAGCTTCACCAATTAAATAATGGAGAAATACAGATTGAACTGTGCTTGCCCAAAACTGAAAATTTCTATCCACACATAAAATACTAAACTAGACAGCAAGTTTTTGCAATGACAAAATTCCCATTGAGAAACATTATGTTTTAGGGTATGGCATTTACCTTAAAAGAGCGTCAACTTATGGGTATTCATGGATTATTACCCCCAGCATTGTTAGATCAAGATGGACAAGTGTATCAGGTGATGCAGAATTTCAATCGTTGGACCAATGATCTAGATCGCTATATTTATTTAATGTCGTTACAAGACAGAAATGAGAAGTTATTTTATCGAGTTATTGCTGATCATGTAGAGACCATGATGCCAGTTATTTATACTCCAACTGTAGGCCTGGCCTGTCAAAAATATGGAATGATCTTCAGAAAACCAAGGTAGGTCTGATTCTTGTCTTAAAGATGTATATGTATAGTAGGTCCTAAAGTCAACAAAATTGACTCTTATGTGCAGTTGTGTTCATAAACTTAACTATTTTCATTGTCTAACAGTGTGCACTGTGTGAAATGGAAAAGAAAATTTCTTTAGAGCACCCCTTTCCTGTATCAGTTTTGCTCCACAAACATTTACACAATTTGTTTAACAGCTATATTAGTCAGACATCTTGAACTGGAATAAACATCAGGCCTCTAAGAATATGACTTCGTATTGATTTCCATTTTCTATATTTATGTGACATTCCAGGGAAAGAATTCTAGTTCTAGTTTTATCTAATTATATTGAAAGGTTTTTATTATTAAAAAGTAATAGGCTACATCTTGTGTCACGTTTGATTTTTATTGGTTCATCTAAATCAATTATTATAAGTCATCTGAAAATGTTTAGTAGTGCAGAGGATTTGTGTATTTAGGGGATAAACCAACTTATATTAATGCCACTGCTAGGATAAGCTAATCCATTTTTTAAATTGAGCAAGTAGTAAAAAGTTTTCACAGGCCAATTTCAATGTTGAAATTGCAAGACATAGTATTACAAAGGGTGGTTTTCAGGTAATTGTGATTTTAAGGAGTAAATATTAGTAAAACTAGCTTAGAATCGTGGAACTGTACACCAAGTAAAACATGTTTGATCTGTTAATACTAATTACTATAAATTACTATTATTGATTAATCAGGACATAGTACCAATATTTATCACAACACCACACAACAAGCTGTCCCAGATAGATAATGAAGTTTATAAGAAAAATGGAAAGCTTGAAACATGATATACAATAGAGAATCTATATGGTTGCAAACATAGTATAATGATTATGAATATAAACTCTGAAGGATAATTTGAGTACAACCTTAGTCTTGCATGTTCATAAGAAAGTGGCTTAAAATTTTAAAATATAGATTCCTCAAGATATCGGCTAAAAGGAATATATTATTTACCATAATATTTGCTTTACCATCTGCTGAAAGAGCTGAATTACATCTATCTGTACCACTTTTCGATATTGAAATTTAATGTTCCGGTTGTTATTAGTTAAGTAATAAGCTTATATCTTGACTTTTATTAAGGGATATCTGATGAAATAGATCCCAAAAAATAGAGATACAAATTTTATCATTTGGTATCATTTAATGATCTTGCTGAAAGTGTTGCAAGTAGATAGAAATTCTAAGAATTCCCCATGAAGTTATTGAATTTTTGTCAGTATGTTACAAATTATCTTAAATCATGTACAGAATAGAGCCTTTTATGATCATTATATTGGACATCTAATTGACGTTTTGATTAAATAGGTTGAAATAGTTTTATGTGTCTCCATTAATAACAGGAATTTAGCATAATAATTCTTTTCTCTTTTCACTTCTATAAACTCTCTATGTTATCTCTTTAATGGTTTAGCAAAACAATTCCATTTCAACCTGTTACATGTGACAGCATGTATTTAATTATACTTACAATAATTAACAAAATACATTGAATCACAAGCTATTAAAAACTCATAAAATTTAAAAAATAGGTCTATTACTCTCAGTTAAAATATTATGTAATAGGCTATAGTTGAGGTATTTACAAAAACAAAAAAAGAGACAAAATGATGTTGCAACAAAAATGGAATGATATAAAATGGAGTACAACTTATGTTTCTGCTGCTGATTGAGCTATAGAAGACAAGCAATGTTGTGCAGTGTGCTGTCAGTGCAGTATTTTGTACATGTTCTAACAGAAAGAATTAATTTTTTGTTCCCATTGAACAAAAAGTCAGCATTTTTATAATGCATATTTATAGGAAATTGCTTGAAAATGTATCATTCTATCAGATCATGGATGGCAGTTCAAATCACTGCCACAAAAAACAAAAACATCAAGATTTGCATTTTATTCAGATTGCACTTTTCCGAATTTTATCTTATCAAGAACATTTCCATGTGCAATTATTAACTATAGATGCCATTGGTCGTAACTGCAATGTTTTATTCTGAATTTGCCACTGATAGCTGAAATCAAGCTCTTTAAGCTGTTGAGAATATATATAAACAATTATTTCTCTGAAAAAGAAGAAGGATTTTGGTAAAAAGTGTAAGCTGCATAACTGAATGTACAACTCCATTTCATTTTTGTTGTAAATTCCATTTTACTTCAGATTGCCTCTAATAAAAGTGAATCAATAAATATAAAGTATAAAGGCAGGGTAATATTAATATTGGAATGATGGACTCTGATATTAATGAAGGGTGTATATTGGTGATAAACCTAATCAAATGAATATAAATAGCTCAATTAATCCTGTGTCAATTGATACTTTGTCTATTTTACAGTCAATGAATTACCAATGTATTCAGATATTACCATTGAAATCTCTAGATTCAAATCATACACAGGCTTGTATTTACAAGATTCAACATGTAGTCGATTATAGTGACAAACATGACTTTCTTTATTGCAAGAAATGTTAAAACTTGTTACAGATTATATTTAAATATAAAATGTTTTGTTAATTGTTAGCTTATAAATATAAATTTTAAGCAAATGAAATATATTTAATCATCAAAATTCCCCCCGCCCCCTCTCCCCTCCCCCATTGTGTCTATTTTTTTCCAAATTTGTTTATTATTTGAAATCCTGCTGTAAAGTCATCAGTGTTAACAAATTCTTTATTAAATTGGTATATAAGGTGTTCCATCAAAGTTATTTGTGCTTAAAGTAGATATCTTGATAGAAAATCTCAGTTTGTATACTTGTATATCCTAGTAATGATTAAAATATACTTGATGTAATTAAACTAAACCAGGATGAAGGATGTTTTTGTTTTTAACTTAAAATAACTTCACCAATATTCTATTTTAATTTTTTCTTTTGATCAAGGAAATCAGTGAATTTTTTCATTGACTATAGTTAGTTAGTTTAGCAATTAGATTGATCAGTTTCATCAGACATTGCATGAGGTTTAATTTGAATACTAGTGATAATGATAATTTGATTAGACTCATATTTTAAGATAGAGATTGATAAGGCTCTTTAACTTCAAACTAGTAAGGAAATCGCATTGTTACACTTGTATGAAAAAAAAAGACAGAAAGTAGAAATATATCCTTGACATTCACCGTTGACTTTCATAATGTTATAAGACCTTGATATCTATCAGTGTTTCCTATTGTAGTTTCCTTTGAAACCAGATGATTCATCACAATACTTATTACTGTACACTGACAAGGAAGTGAAATTTGACATTTTTCCTTCATATCAGTTGCTCAAACGAAATATTGTGACGGTCTGAGCTGTTGTTGTAGGATTGATATACTACATAGATTTTGCAAAAAGACCATATTGGATAAGAAATATACCCAATAAAGAATATTGACTAGATGGACTGCTAAAATGCAATATTGAAAAACCCTTTTGAAGGTTGGCATCAGATGCATTGCCTCATTGGTACTTATCATTGTGAAGCTAAAATTCAATTAAGTTTTATTGTGTACAAGATAGATGATTTTATTGTGGTTTCTCTACACTAACACTTGTATTATCATTGAATTAGTCCAATGGCTAAATCTAATAAAGTACTGTCACTAACTGTTAGCCTCAAAGAAGAGTATGCAGAAAAAGTGCTTTCAGGCAGTATTCAGAAAAACTTGGGAGGAAATGGATGGTTTATGTTAGGCCCTTAGACTCATTCCCCTACTAAAATTTGGGATTCAATGTTGGCATCAGAAATAATATGAACCTTGATAGTAAATGAGATCAGTTAAGATTTATGTTATTGAATTACTACTGTATTTACTTAATATCAATTATTGAATAAACAGAAAGGTACATTATGGTACAAGGCTAGTTCATTGTCTATGCATATACTCGAACATGATTGCAGTCATATACGGTACTCGAACATGATTGCAGTATGTTATAATTTCTTAAAGATGATTTTTGTTTTTAGGTATTTTGCAGAAAAAAAACAATGTGCTACAGGTTGTGTACATCCATTTAAAGCCTAAATTTCCCTTGCTGCTTATTACATAGTGTTGCACAATTAGGTGCAGAAAAGTAAGACATAAAACACTATTTCAATTCATTAATTATTTTAATATATTTGATTATTGCAGGGGTCTGTATATAACTATTAATGATATAGGTCATGTTTATGATATATTATGTAACTGGCCTATTGATCAAGTTAAGGTAAGTGTTCAATATATTTGATTTTCAATTCCTTTATAAAGAACTCCAAGACCAATTGTCATACATTTAACTTTCCATCAATGCTTATAAAAGAATTCAAGTTCTCAGGACAATTTGAATATCAAGTTGTCATAACAACAGCCAATAACAGCAGTCCAACTTTTGTTTTAATTGTATATAACAGGACAGTTCAGCCAAGTGTTTTCTCATAAAATTGTTATCTGCCAGAGCCTCTGAATTGGGTAAGAGTTCCTTGAACTACTAATTCTGTTGTCAGTGAAATTTTCCAAGGGCTTTTATATTAACATATTTATTTGTCAGCTTGTTCAGTGACATTTCTAGGAAACTTTAGGTGACCCCCATAGAAGTGCCATTCAGACTGGACCTATATCTTTTGTTGTGTTGAGTCCAGTTGTCCGATTATGTTGGCTTGGTATTTTAATATGTATATTATGTTATATATTATATAGGTAATAGTGGTTACTGATGGAGAAAGAATTCTAGGATTAGGTGATCTAGGAGCGTATGGTATGGGTATTCCTGTTGGTAAACTATCATTATATACAGCTCTAGCAGGTGTCTTACCTTACGCTTGTTTACCTATTACTATAGATGTTGGAACTAATAATCAGGTATGTGTAAAAAAAAACAAAATTGCAATTGGATCAGTCAAATATTTCAGGACTAGTTTCATTGCTATATACTCTATATTTATGTCAGGGTGTGTATGTGTGTGTCTTTTTTCACTTTATTAATAAACTTATCTATTGCTCTGTGACCGAGGCTAGCACTTTCATTGAGACTCACTCAATAGACCCTAATACCAGTCTAAACTTCCAGAGTATATGTTTGGCATCAGATCCAAACTTCAGATTTTAATTCTGATAAATGTTGTAGAGACTATTTAAAAGTCCTCATTTATCTTCTGCCGCCAAAATGAGATTGCAGCAGTGTGTTATTAATGCACATAATGGGAAGTAACCCTTCAAGGTGTAATTGACTGCAGGTAAAACTGGTGATACATTAGTAACTATTTCAATGTTATCTATTTTCTAGAGTTTATTAGATGATCCACTATATATTGGATTAAAACAGAAAAGAGAAAGAGGACAAGTCTATGATGATTTGATAGAAGAATTTATGAAAGCTGTAGTTAAAAGGTATCAGTAGTTTGATATTTGTCACATATTTTCAAATATCTTGTGTGGTACCCTTGATGCTTTACAGAGATGCCTAACTTTGCCATTTGCTATTATCTTGATTGATCCAGGATGGCTATTATGGCTTATGGTTATTGAAGAACATTTTGTCATTTGAAACCTCATTCATGTATTTTCATGTTGAACAAAATCATTTGAGATACAACGTATTTGAATAGTAGAAAATGTTTAGTTATTGCCCTTTACCAAATTTGTACTAATAAGATTTGGAAAGATTTTTATGAACAAGTGTTTTGATGATTTTAAACTACACACTACAAATACTGTAATTGATTTAGATATGGTGAAAATGTTCTGGTACAATTTGAAGATTTTGGTAATAATAATGCATTTAGATTATTGGAGAGATATAGAGATAGTTATTGTACATTTAATGATGATATACAAGGTATGTGCAGTATTTAAAGTAATCATATAATATAATGTAATATAGTACAACGGAATTTCCTATCACGAATTGATGTAAATAAAACTAATGGATAATCATAGCTACTGACCATTAAGCTATAGCCTATGAACTCATGCAAGCCCTTTGAGTGTGATAACATTACAAATATTTTGCAGGAGTTTTGATACGGTAAAGCTAATCGACATGTCTTTAAATTTCAGGAACGGCAGCTGTAGCAGTAGCAGGAATACTAGCTAGTCTTAAAATTACCAAGAAAAAACTATCAGAAAATGTTTTTGTCTTCCAAGGAGCTGGAGAGGTAAAAGTTCAACTTTTTACAACCATAAATCTAAATGTAAAGGAATATCATTTAAACCGCAACCACATGTTCACATTACCTTGTAAATATTATAGGATTTAAATCATTTTAAATAATTTTGATGGAACTTTATCTTCATTTCATGATTATAAGAATATCAAGTTCAAATTTTATTATTTTGATTGTTAACTTGATTACTAATTGTTGCCTTAAAGCATCAGAAGGACTAAAGTGAAATACATTTTTTTTTTATTATTGAAGGCATCTATAGGTATAGCTAAATTATTAGTGATGGCATTAATGAAATCAGGTTTAAAACAAGATGAAGCTCATAAACAAATCTGGATGGTGGATTCTAAAGGACTCATTGTTAAAGTAAGTACTATGTAGTATTAAAATATAATCAAGTTTCTTTTTATGGGCATAATCAGATACAATACTTTGTAAACCAGTCTTATCACAAAATATATAATTTATGGACTTTGGCTCATGGGATTGGGGTTCCTTTGTAGACATTGTCATTCAAAATTGTTGCAGAAAATTATGAAATCTTATTTTGGCAGAAAAGGTGGATATTAGTTTAGAAATTCCTGTGAAATTTGTGCACCATTTGAAGATATTACACTACATTTTAACTACATTATAAACCTAAACTTTAAACTGTGCCCATTTTATTTAGCTTGATTAATGAAATATGGGACCATTTCTTAAAGAGAATCATTATATATTATAGAACAGACCATCAGGAGGTTTAACAGCCCATAAAGAAGAGTTTGCTCAAGACCATAAACCAATAGATAAACTAGAAGATGTTATAGCTACAGTTAAGCCTACAGCCATTATAGGTAAGGAGAAAAATATATAAGTTTTTATCTCTCTGAAATTTTATATTTATTGAATTTTATTTTGTTCCATTGAAAGAAGCTACTACTTGAGAACTGAATAAAGAAAATGTTGTCATTTGTAATAAGGACGATCCATAAAAGAAAAACAAAGCCTATAGACCTAGAATACTGCTGATAAGATAAATCAATGAATAATATATGTCGAGATAGCATAAAGAATATGAACATTTAAATATTGTGCAAAATTTTGAATTCTCTTAAGTTGGCATTTGGCATTCTGTTCCTTGAACTTGACATATAGAGTTCACTTTTGAATTATTTGTTTATGACTGTAGGAGCTGCAGCCCAACATGGAGCCTTCAATGAGAAGATTTTAGCAGATATGGCAAAATTCAATGAAAGACCAATAATATTCGCTCTCAGTAATCCAACTAGTAAAGCTGAATGTACAGCAGAGGAAGCTTATAAAATGACAAAGGTATAGTTTTAACTTTCATAGTTCATGTGATGGCAACAGACCTTGCTGTATCATTCATTCATGCACTACTGTACATAGAAAATAGTTGAATTTACAGTCTTTTACAGTCTTTTACTGTTTATAAATGACAAAAAAATGTGTGGCAGGACACAATTGTTGAGAAGGATAGCTTGTCAATGACATCACCCAACATCACAATGGGGCTTATAGAGCCAAATCAACAGCCTGCTAAATGTAATGTTGAATTTTGCAGGGTAAAGCTGTTTTTGCAAGTGGTAGTCCATTTAAACCAGTAACAATAGATGGTAAAACATTCCACCCAGGACAAGGTAACAATGCCTATATTTTCCCTGCTATTGGTTTAACGTCTATAGTATGTGATGTTAGAACTATCACTGAAGAAATCTTCTTAGAATCAGCTAAGGTGAGTAAGAATATATTTTCTATACTGTAGGTCAGGGAAGCTTAATTAAGCAATTTTCATCAAAATTTAAGTAAAAATCCTGTCATTATCATAATTAATGAACAAACAGAAACTTTACTTTTGCCCATCACCAAATGGGTGTGGTCTTTACAACCAATCAGATTCAATAGATTCCTGTAGATTCTGGAAACCTGGGTAATATTTCAGGCCATCTTTTTTTGTTTAAATATTGTTAAGAAATTTATTTGTTTTGTAATACTATGAATTATTATACCAATGATTCATCAGCATAGAATTATATGCCTATAAAAAAACAAATTATCTAGATTGAAACTGAACATAACTCTATGCAGGTATTAAGTGAATTAGTTACAGATGAAGATATAGCTGAAGGCAGGGTATATCCACCATTACCTAAAATTCGAGAAATCTCAACAACTATAGCTATTAAACTAGCTGAATTCTCCTATGATAAAAATCTGGCCAAACGTCATCCACGACCTGATGATATGACAGAATTTATCAAATCACATCAATATAGTACAGATTATCAAACATTTGTACCTAATTTATATGACTGGCCTAATGTTAAATCTGGTTTTAGAATCCACCCCCCCCCCCCCCCAAAAAAAAATAAATATTGGTAAATACAGCTGAGTCCATATTTTTTCACAAAGGAATCTCTTGGTTTCCTGTTTTAGTAATATTAAGATTCAGTGATTTAGATGCTTTAGCAAAACCATAGCAAACATTGCTTTATTTATCAATAGACATTGATTGTTGACTCCTATTTAAAGAAATATATTTTGTTTAAGAAATTTTATTAATTTATTTATTTTTAATGATAATCAAAATTCTCTTGTATTTTTTTACAAGTTATTACTGGTACAATATGTATATTGGTGTATGTCTCTTATTTTTTTCTATTTACATGTACATGTTTATAACCTTATTGATAAAATATTTTCTGTTATATTGACCTGTTATTCTGATGTCATTCTTCAAAATTTGTTATAATGCATTTGATTTTTGGCATATTATGGTGAAACAGAACAAGCTGATTATCACATCACTATTTCAAACATCCATCTCTGTTTAATATCCATGTTATACCGTTTGAACTCATTGATTTGTAAAAAAAAAAATATATTTTATAATTGTTAAAGTTTTTCTTGTACTCTTTCATGCTCCACTCAATTCTTGCAGGGATTTTATAGTTTTTAAAGAATATTTATGAGTGATATTTCCTGTTATTCTTTATTATTTTACTATATTACTCAAGGATTTAAGAAATTTCCGTATTTTTATGGGGTCCATTTGATTCGTTTTTGTTTTAAAAAACAAACAATAATAATATAGATTGTTTATTGAAATATCAAAAGAACTTTTATAGTTTTGTGGGATCTCCCAATGTAATGTTGACAAACTCAGTCAAAGAGATGTATGAGCTTATCAAGAGTACCTGTACATGTACAGTCAAATCAACAGCTCTGGATTGAGTATTTCCTATGATAGTTTTGTTAGAGTATATATCAAGAAATAAATTAAATTGATTATTTATATTGTAACTTTACTTTAGAATAATTAAATCAAATGTTAGCAAGTATTTATTTTATTTACTGACAATGGAAACTTAACAAAATTCTATGTAAATGATTTATAACAGATTTCATTTGCAAAAGGTGATGACATACAGCAATCTTATCACAAAAAATAATTTGCTCACCTCAAAAAAACCCAAATATTTGTGGAATATACTACATTTTGGAACAATAATTTTCAACCACTATGTGGGAATTTATAGATTTCGATTCTTACCAATTCACAGGAATCCTATTAAATACCTATACAGACAGTACAGTGAAAGTACATTCAATGATTGCCACAATTATGGGCCCAACCAAACATAAAACTATAAACAAGGAACAATTTATTTACTTGCTGACTCTCTTACTGGTTCCTTACAGTTATAGATGGACAAAAAATGTAAAAATATCCATGGAAAGCGATCAGCCTCGCTAGAAACCAAGCCTTATATTTTATTTAAGAAATCTAAGACTCAATGATATACATGTATCACAACCATCTTTTATGAGGGATATGATAATGTATTAATACTCATGTTCTTCTTCCAAGCAAAATTGAATATTGTGGTGAGTGGTGGCGCAAGGCTTCTAAGACTGGGGGTACAAATAGGGGGACTGACTGACTGAACTGGACTGACTTAATGGGTGAACAATCGTCCAGGATGAGATTCGAAATGCGGCACCTGTGTGGAAGCCCATAGTCACTGGTATGGATATAAATGGGTATAATGCGCACAGCAATTCAAAATAAGTTGTGCCTTACCTTGCAATTGTGTCGGACACCATGATGAAAATGCTTCAGATAAACTCTTTTCATTATTTGCATACACTTTTGACATCCAAATTTTAATTTGGGTAACAGAACCCTAGACTTGGATCGTTCTTCCCACTGAAAGATTTGAGTCTTTATTTTAGTAGAAAATCCCACTGTTGACATTTTCTCAGTTTATCACACAAGTGCAATATTACCTATTAAACACAAGACAATTTTGTTGACTGTGAAAAACTCGTATAACTAGCCCGCTATCCAAATAAGCAAAGCCTGAATATATCCGATAAGAATTCGAAATCAAATGATATCCGTTTCACGAGAGAGAAAGTTAATGAGGAATGTATCAATTATTATTGGAATTCTGTCAGATTATACAGATGTAACCATGGCTAAATCTTCTCTCAGAATCGTCCTGTGGCCTTCCATATCAATTTCTTTGTGAAATCATCTTCTATGCCTACACGCCGGTAGCCAGGCATAGAACAGTAATGGAATTGGTCGGTTGTCAGAATTTCTTCAGGAGGACAATTCATTTTTTCTAGCTTTTCATGCAGGCCAGCCCCCTTCCACCCCCTAAAAATTTAGATGACTTAAATGACTTGTTGAGTCACTATAGTTTTTCTGTCCTTTGGTTTGCCCTCTTAGACATAAGGGTTCTGGGTTTTGATGATGATTTTTGTTTGTTTCAGTCTTCATGATGGATTTGAGTTTTTCCTTCTAATGATGATGGTTTTGGATTTGTCCTTGCTTTTATATTGGTTAAGAATCTGAATTTGTTCTTATTATGCCTGGTTTTGAATTTGTCGATCCTTTATTGATGATGGCTTTGGTTTTGTTCCTGTGTTTAGCCTATTATGGTTGTGGATTCTTTCTTGTTTAGTTGATGGAATTGTCCTTACTCAGATGGTGTTTGAGGAGTTGTGTTCTGTAGTTAAAATTGTGTTTGGTTGTTGCATAAAGTTTGTGTTCTGTTGTAGGATTTGTGTTTTACTGTTTAACAGTAAGGTTTTGTTTGTTGAAACAGAGTATGTATTATATTAATAATAGGTAGAATGTGACATTGGACAAGTTGACTCCTATCAAACTGACATCCATATGTCCTTTGTACAACAACATATAATTACTATACATAATCTACGCATCGAACCGTTACTTTTCTTACAACTACGTCATTAGAATTCATTCTTTATCTCGTTCTATTATTAAATTTCATCATCACAAGCCAGATAAATGTTGAGTAGCTATTAACCTCTCTCATGTGGTAGAGATTTTGGTTCAACACGATGATGAATGAACGAATTCTAAAAATTAGACTAGGGTTAACATAATAATATAACACCATGCCAAGTTGTACTGAGATGTGTTCAGTTCTAAATATATTCATAGTCAAAGGAATGTTGACCTTGCTCTATATATACCAGATTTAATGGTAAATACTTCTAGTTATTGCATCATTGTTTACTGGCAATAGAACCGCCAGAATTACGCATTTAATTTGCTAGGAAGGTGTGTACTTTATCGGATGTGTTATGCTTCTCACTGTGAAACTAGTTTATAAGAGGATAGTAATGAAATCAGTGAACATTTTGCAATATTTAAGTTAAAGTTAAATTAATAGTACATTAAATTCTTTTATTGTTTGATTATTGAACCTTCATAGTTGTGTACCTGGACTTTGACTGTAGATATAACCCGTTTTACCAACATTTATCAGCGTATCAGAGAAAGGCATTGTGTTACATTGAGTAATGACAACAGTGATTGAACTCAAGGATCAGTAAATTTACAGATTTTGTTTATCTGGGACGACTCGATTATTAATTTAAATCATGCCTACACCAAATGTAGACACCAGTAACAACGGTCCGGTTGTAAATAATAGCGATTCGTTAGAGGATGATCAGAATACAGAAGAGCAGAAAGAAGTAAATTGTGATATAAAAGATGAATTTTGTGATCCTGAAAATCCCAAGCCTATTAAATTCCAAGATGTAAGTGCTGCAGCTTTCAAAATTAAAGGCGGGATCCAAAAGACTCCATGTACCATATCTCGCATGTCAAATTTCACTGGAATTCAAATTTATTTCAAGAAGGAGTTCCTGCAATACACTGGAAGTTTTAAAGAAAGAGGTGCCAGATACACGTTGTTAATGCTATCTAAGGAGGAACGTTCTCGTGGTGTCATTGCTGCTAGTGCTGGAAATCATGCCTTAGCTCTTAGTTATCATGGTCAGCTGTTGAATATACCAGTAACTGTCATAATGCCCAGAATAGCACCGATTATGAAAGTAACTGCATGTGTTCATTTTGGCGCCCATGTTGTTGTTCATGGAAACGATATAGGTGAATCTAAGGATCACGCTCTCCAGGTGGCCAAAGAAAAGAATCTTATTTACATCAATGGTTACGACCATCCTCATATTTTAGCTGGTCAAGGAACAATGGGATTAGAAATAGTCGACCAAGTTCCTGATTTAGATGCCTGTATAATTCCTGTTGGAGGTGGCGGGTTAATTGCAGGAACGGCCTTGGCTATCAAAAGCTTACACCCAGATGTTCAGATTATCGGCGTCGAGTCTGAAAGATGCGCCAGTTTTTCAACAGCCTTAGAAGCAGGTCATCCGACATACACCAAAGCTTCATCATCAATAGCTGATGGATTAGCTGTACCTACAGTTGGTGTAAACGCTTTCGTTACAGCCAAACCTTTGATTGATAAAATGGTTACAGTTAAAGAGGAATATATAGCTTTGGCTATTTTACGTCTAATAGAATTGGAGAAAGCTGTCGTAGAAGGTGCTGGTGCTATTGGTTTAGCCGCCATTTTACAGAATCTTTTACCTGAGTTACAAGGGAAAAAGGTTGTGATTGCTCTTTGTGGTGGTAATATTGATACTACTGCTTTAGGTAGAGTTATAGAGAGAGGTCTAGCTGCTGATGGCAGATTGATAAGATTTGTTGTAACTGTAACGGACAGACCTGGTGGTATAGCTGATCTTACCAGACTTATAGCTGATCTCGGTGTTAGTATTAAAGATATCTTCCATGAAAGAGCTTGGTTAAAATCAGATGTGTTTGCTGTTCAGGTGAAATGTGTTGTGGAAACTAGAGACGCTGAACATACAAAAGAACTAGAAAATATTCTCCGAAAGAATTATTCTAAAATTGTTTGGGGTCCGGTCTATTTTTGAAATGCTTAGCCTTGTATTTCTTTTTAAAGCAGTGAATACTTTTGTTTGATGAGAAATTGGTTTTATTTTTATACCCAGAGTAACGATTTGTCAATTGGCTTACAGGATTGTTCTACACAATGGTGTAAAATCAATATTTTCCAGTTTTATTTTCCCTCTGAGAAATTTGATTGTAATTATATACTTCATTATATAAGGATACGCAAGTCTTAATTTCTTATTCACTCATGGTAGGCATAAAAACGCATAAAAAGACTGGAAGTTCAAAATGGTAAAAAAACATCACGAGCAAAAAAAATAAAGTCTCGGACCACGCTCTGAAGCTGTTGACAGATTCAGTTGTTTTAATTGGTTCAGGGGAGACAACAAAGATTCGTCTGTGCGCATAGGCTACATGTTCTTTGGTATGATCAGTCCTACTTTTCTGTACCCTGTGGCTAATGAAAACGGGCAACGCCATGCAGGGTGCAATGAGGAAATTCTCCAGGACAGCGCAGCACTTGCTCCACTATCGACGGAAACCAAGGAGCAGTGTGCATGTTCTTTAAGGGGGCGCCAAAATCCCTTTTTAACACTCGTCAGCAAAATTCCTCAATTCGCACAGCAGCGCCCCTCTATTATTTTTGATAAGCCCTATGCAAACCAGTGTGTAGACCGAACATCTGTCTCTATTCCAGCCTCTGCAATGATAGCTATTTGGACATATGTCAGCTGGTGTAAAAATAGGCCCTGTTAAATGGGACATTCCTCATCTCCGCAGGTGCGGGGGTTTTAAACCTATTTAGATACCTTCATCTGCAAAACCCATATAGGCCTATATTGGAAAGATGAATATTTTTGTAGTTCAGTCATACCATCATTTTCTCCCTACACCATTTATGTCACGTCTCTGGTTCCATCAAATTTTTTTTTGGCAAAACTGATCTAGCATCGGTCACAGGTTACAGTCACGTGATACTAACAAAACGAAAGTTACGGTGATGCCCAACACTTATTCATAATCATCTTAAAGGTAATTCAATATTATGTTAGAGAAAACGCATCTTTAAAGGTGTGGAAAATCCCCATTTAACAGGGTATTTTTTCTTCTGACTCTACTCCAGCTGACAAAATATCCATCAGAGACTGGATAAGAGGCAGATGTTTCGGACTAAACATGCTTTTTCTTCATTCCTGTGATTTAATTCTTGAAAATTTATGGGTGTGCGACTCAACTTAAAGCGTATTTGGGAAGCTATAAAATTCGTTTTCGGGCAATTGCCATGCATTATATTAGATGACTCTTTTCTTGAACTACATTTTTTGGTCATGATTTTGTTTTTTATCGTAGTATATCCAGGAGTATTAATTGCTATGTAAAACCCATCATGAAAAGCATTGTAAATTCGCCCACATGAAATGCTCGTAAACACTCTAGGAGGCACAACCCTGCAAAACATGTCCTTCAGAAGTTCTATAGAAAAATGTCCTATTATAGAACTGTCTTATAGAGATTCTAAAGAACAGCTCTATAAGAATTCTATAGATAATATTCCTACAGAAAATATTCCCATAGAAAATTTCTATAAGAAAACTTTCTATAGAATAAAAACCACAGGAAGATAATAATAAAAACATAGAAAAATGGAAATATGAAAAAGTTCTAATATTACATACCTTCTGGAGCTTTACTTAGCCTAGTCAGGAAAGCGGTGTCTTGAATCCTCCGCCATCCCGCCAGGTCATGAGACTTGATATTCGCAAATTGAAAAGCACGTTTTTCTGATGCAGGCTGAAATAAAATTAATTCACGATTTAACAATTGCTAAACATTTGCATGTTGAAAAGAAAAACAAGATTTCTTTATTGTTTCGTTTCGTCATACGTAATAAAAACATTCCAACTTTTTATTGCACTCTGCATCAGAAAAACGTGCTTTTTAATTCGTGAATAACAAGTCTCAAATGACCTGGCGGGATGACGGAGGCGTTTCGCCTTCGGCGGAGGATTAAAGACACCGTCTAGAAAGTGAAGTGGTTTGTCTAACTCGGCAGGAATCCAGAAACCCTAATTAGTAGTTATGGAGAATCAATCTTTTGAAATAGAGGTAAAAGAAGAAAAGAAAGTTGAAAATCTCCACTGTATTCTGTTTTTGAATGCAAATGCTTACCAGCAAAACAGTAATGTTTATATATAGATTTGAATTGTATTCTTCCATAAGAAAGAAGAAAGTTTCAAAAGGGAAATAATTATAACAGAACAATCATAACAAGGAAATATTTTCTTACTGTGTCTTTCTAATGTAGATATTGATATTTCTTTTATTTTCTTATTATATAGATATATAACGTCTCAAATATTTAAATCTCTATTGTATTTTAATTGTTTTCGTTCTTTGTTTATAGACCTGTTATTGAAGTCATTAAATTAATGTTTACATGCACAATGACGTTCACAATTTTAGAACCCATTGAATATATTGCCCTACTATTAAAAACAACCCAGTAAGTTCCCGGGGAATAGACCAAGTCTGTATGTACGAATTGCACCCATGGTAGAAAACGTTTAACTATAGAATGCCATTTACTTGAGAGAGACACTCTACAGAAAGCATCGGACGAGAACAACTTGGACGTGCATTGAGTTAACGTTAATCATTAATTCAGGTTGTATTCATCAATTGAGGCGTTTTCTGGCAAAGGGGCGAAAGTCAAGCTTTCAAGATTCTTTCAGTTCAGCCGCCGACCATTGAGCTAGACTTTCTATTCGCCAAGACTTTGAAATGTAGGCACTTATTAGGGTAGATAAACTTTAGCTGAAACCATAGGATTTAACTAATTATATGCCTAATACGTATTAATAATTAATGATGCGAAGTGGTCTCTTATGGTCCATTTTAGAAAGTTTAAACCCCGTCTGCACGATCCTGCAATCGTTCATAACATTATCATACATTTGTATGACCGTGTTCTTGGGGCAAATGTATGATCTTTTGGACTATGATGATTCTTTTATAAATTATAGCGAAGACGGAGCTTAAGCATTGTGGGGTGTATTTTTAAACCAAATTCTGAGTTGTTATTTCCGGTAGGACTAGTATTGGTCGACATAACTGGTTCTGGAGAAAGGCCATGTGTAACATTTTATGCTTTGTCAGTGGCATTACTATTTGATTTGATTTGTACCTGGTCCTGTTGAATGTCGAGTACTTCAACAATTGATCCAACAATAGAATTTTTTGGTCTCTTCAGGTCTTTACTGATTCACAATTTCTGTAACTTTGTGACGGTTCGTATGTACCTTGGTCTCAGAAACTGAAATTGTTCAGCTAATCTAATCAGGAATACCCTCGTCAAACAGGACTGCGACAATTCCCGCCACCAATTGCCATCAAACGTTAAAAACGCGAAAAAAGTCCGCATAAACTGCCAACTCTTAAACAGTCGCCGTCATGTTGCTACTTATGCGATCTTATAGTACCTTCAAAAATACTTAACTAGGAATTATTCTTTCTATTTCTATATGTCTTTTCTGCAGTCTCAAGAAAAGACGAGTCGTACTTTTATCTTTCAAACGCAAATAAATTTGGACACACATTGATTTGAAGACTCAAATTTCGGCGATTAGTTATTCCCAATAATGAGACTAAGGTACGATTGGTCACAAAAGTGGCGAGCCTATCCCTTAAGGTAAATTAAGTATTAGTCTATGTATTCCTCTCAAGGTTGAAACCCTGGCACTTGGTCGTTGATTGGTCAAAAAATTCTTCATGTGTCAGCTTTGTTGATTTTGTTAGCTTATAAAAAGGCAACAAATTTGTCATTTGAATATAAACTTACCTTGGTTTACAAGAACAAGTGTGAAAAAAGTGAACAGTAATTGTGAACTGGTTAAGTTTTAAGTTTTGTGTTTTTCTTCGAAGACACGAATATCATTTTTAATCATGTCTACACCAAGTGATATAAAAGATGAATTTTGTGACCCAGAAAATCCCAAACAAATTAAATTCCAGGATGTACAGGCTGCAGCTTTCAAAATTAAAGACGGGATCCAAAAGACTCCATGTACCAAATCCCGCATGTCAAATTTCACTGAAATGCAAATTTATGTCAAGAAGGAGTTCCTGCAATACACTGGAAGTTTTAAAGAAAGAGGTGCCAGATACACGTTGTTAATGCTATCTAATGAGGAACGTTCTCGTGGTGTCATTGCTGCTAGTGCTGGAAATCATGCCTTAGCTCTTAGTTATCATGGTAAGCTGTTGAATATACCAGTAACTGTGGTAATGCCAACAATTGCACCGGATGTGAAAAAGAAGGGATGTGTTAATTTTGAAGCCAATGTTATTGTTCATGGGAAAGATATAGGTGAATCTAAGGATCACGCTCTCCAGGTGGCCAAAGAAAAGAATCTTATTTACATCAATGGTTACGACCATCCTCATATTTTAGCTGGTCAAGGAACAATGGGATTAGAAATAGTCGACCAAGTGCCTGATTTAGATGCCTGTATAATTCCTGTTGGAGGTGGAGGGCTAATTGCAGGAACGGCCTTGGCTATCAAAAGATTAAATCCAAAGGTGAAGATCATCGGCGTCGAGTCTGAAAAATGTGCCAGTTTTTCAGCAGCTAGAGAAGCAGGTCATCCGACATACACCAAAGCTTCATCATCAATAGCTGATGGATTAGCTGTACCTACAGTTGGTGTAAACGCTTTCGTAACGGCCAAACCTTTGATTGATAAAATGGTTGTTGTTAAAGAAGAATATATAGATTTAGCTATTTTACGTCTGATAGAAGTGGAGAAAGCTGTCGTAGAAGGTGCTGGTGCTGTTGGTTTAGCCGCCATTTTACAGAATCTTTTACCTGAGTTAAAAGGGAAAAAGGTTGTGATACCTCTTTGTGGTGGTAATATTGATCCTAGAACTCTAATTAAAGTTATAGAGAGAGGTCTCGTTGTTGAGCAGTAACTGTAACAGACCACGGGTGAACAGACAGACCAATTTTATTAGTACAGATATTTGAAAATAGCAAAATTCTTCGCTAATGCTGCTTTCTTAAGACAGTTCTTATTTCTTTATCAAAATCGAAATTGTAATCTAGATTTGAACAGTACTGATCTATCCCCTCAGAACTAATGATTCTTTATTTCTTTTCAATTCAATTTCAATTTTTGAAAAATATTCTTGATTCGATTTCGCTTTTTTAAATATGTTACATTTGTGATAATCCTTTTCTTCATTAGCAGATAATTAGGAGTTAAATATAAAATTCACTTCTGTGCGTTTATATTAATTATTATATCGCTCTGAGCACTATTTTAACAGTGAAAATAGTTTTTTAATTGTATGTTAATTATTATTATATTTTTTTCTTTTGTAAATAATATTCTATTCATAAACATGTTTTATTGGGGTTGTAAAATGTCGAAAATCAGTTTTAGAAAAGTTTAATTATATTTAGTTTTTTTATCGTAATGTTATGTTTTAATGGAAGAATTTACTAGAAATAAGTAATGTTTATATATAGATCTGAATTGTATTCTTCCATAAGAAAGTTTCAAAAGGGAAATAATTATAACAGAACAATTATAGCAAAGAAATATTTTCTTACTGTGTCTTTCTAATGTAGATATTGATATTTCTTTTATTTTCTTATTATATAGATATATAACGTCTCAAATATTTAAATCTCTATTTCATTATAATTGTTTTCTTTCTTTGTTTATAAACCTGTTATTGTAGTTACATGTAGATAGATATTTTACAAATAAATGCTTGCATGCACAATGAGGTTATTATACTTTATTTTTTAAATATTCTAAAGATTTATTCAACCAAGTTGCATTATAATGGAATTTAAAGAGAGGCCATTTTGTGAATTGTAAAGATCCAAACACTTCAAATAAATTATTTTGTAATTAAGAACCAAGAACTTAATGTGACAGAACCTAAACAATTATTTTAAATCCAGCTTCTTCAAACTTTCATGACTTTACCTGAACGCCTTTCAATATTTATGTGACTACGCCCCACCCACGACTCTGCTAAAAGAAGACAACGCTAGATTACTTCTTCTTTATAGGCGAATTAATGTATGTTTATGGCACTTGCCATTCATATTGTTTATATGTTTATATACGCGTGTTACCAATGCAAGAATGGACAATGCCAATATTGAGAGTCTATAAAGTCTAGCTCACTGGTTGCCGACCGAATTGGCTTAGTTTGTAGGCACGAGTTTCACCCCTTGACGGAAACGTATAACATGTTCTGGACCTAACAATAAGATAGATAGAGAGAAGGCTGATGCACGTACAAATTTGAAAGGGACGCAACACAGGCCTCGTTTAGTTCAGTCAGCGGAGACCAATGAGCTAAAAGTTTTATTTGTATTGATATATACTAAAGCCAATTATTAGTTTCTGAACTGATATGAAGGTCGTTTCGATTCTAATATCAATACACACCTAATCTGATAATAATTTTACGACGTAAGCCACGCTGCTGAACGCATGTGTGCTCTTCATATTGTAATCAAGTCAAATGTAGAGGTGTTTTCTGTCAAAGGGATGCAACTCGTAAATGAAATATATCCGGAGGGGCAGTTTGCTGGTAAGTGGTATTGTCTGTATAGATTGGTCACGATAGGCCTGACTACCGTACCTGACACGATATCTGATGTTCAGCACAAAACATCTATGAATAATCTTCAGTAAAACATATTCTGTTTGAATTGAAATAGTTTTCATGTTGAAATCCATAGTCTCTACTTGTGACCTAGGCCAGTGCTTCTATAGGAGAGTATCTTCTATAACACCTAAAACAAACCACATTGAAAAGCTAAAGATGGAATATTTTGCGAAAAATATCTTCAAGAAGAGATCTAACCCCAAAATTATAATATCCCCTTCTATTTTAACTTCTCTTATGGTATTATATCTTTTTGTACAATATAAATTACTATGTCGTGAAGAAGACCCTATACTAATATTGATCTTTTCTAAACTCTTCACTCTTATCAATCCTAGCCAAAACATAAAAAGGTCAAAACAAAGATGGAGTTAGTACTGTTCTCCATTTACTTTGTTGGCGTTGTATCTTCCATGCGTTCTGTTCCGAAATACCCAATAACAGCATCTTGGTTTAAGGATCGATTCTCTTCACAAGAATGGGTAGCTTCTCTACAGGAGTTTCAGCTTCAAGGGGGAGATACTGTATGGCTTCGAGCTCAACCGGTTGTGATTCGCAGCAAAGAGGATTTGCAGCGTGACCCAAGCTTTGTTTGGTGTGGAAGTCGGAAAAGTAGTACAGGGGTAACTGGTACAAGATGTTATGACGAAGCTGTTCAGGAACTTAGTCAACATGATCTGATCGTCAGGACGTTTTTAACCTACAACTATGAAGAGAATTTCAGCAACAGCATTATGTTATGTCCGAAGTATGATCTAAAAATCATCAGCTCAAGAATATACTATCGTATTGTTCTACCACTTGAGAAAGTTCAGTAAGTTATCAACTAAATCAATATTTTGTACAAGTAAAGCAAGCGAAACTATTTTTTTGCAGTTCATCTGCCTATACAGGCGATTTAAACTTAATAGTTTTCTATTTTAGAAACCCATGTGAGCTGCCAGCAAATTCGTCGGTAGCTGTCCTTTTTACCTCATTTGCTGGTACAGACCCACATGAACTATTGGTTGAAACAGCTTCACAGATGAACATGAGCGTATTCTTTGGTCTTCCGTCATTTCCTACCCAATCCGGTACAGGATTTGTTACAGAGCTTACTGAAGCTTATCACTGGTGGATTTTCAGAGTGCTCACAGAACATAAACAAAGATACAATGAGCTGTTCATGAAGAATTCTGGAGTTTCTATTTACGATACAGTTAAAGGGTATTATTCTACAGACGAATGTTGCTTGGGTGACGTATCCGTAGACTCGTTTTATGTTGAGCTGTACAAACTAATCGGAAATACCGTTCATTCATTTAGCAAACTTTTTACGATTTCTCCATATGTGGATCTAAATCGATCCCAAGTAAACCTCAGTGTAGAACAACATGTCCAGGGATTTGAAATCTTGGCTCAATGTCATGCTGATGTTATAGCTGTACAAGAAGGGCGCGGTGCTGGTAAAGGGTGTTACTATTGGGAAACGGAAATAAACAAAACTGTTCAAGAAGTCGATCCAGTTTTAGACGATATCATTCACTACATTGATCCAAAAATAAAGCCGGATGTGACGTACAGCGAGGCATTTACAGCAAGCAATCAAGAGGTAATTTTTGTCTTATATCGGGTGAATCAGAAAAAAACAATAATACTTTTCATTTTAGTATTTAGAAGTATCAAAGTTAAGATCATAATATTTTGACCTCTTATTTATAGAAATACAAGACAGCACAATTTTCAGCACAAACTGCTCATATACTCTTTTTCCAAGACCAATTTGCGGATTAGCAAAAATTAAAAAAAAATGAATGACCAATCCTTATTCATCTCCCGATTGCAATTCAAAAATTTCAGTGTGAGAAACTTTCAAGTTGAGAAAGTTTACATTAGATAATCAAATTTCTTCATGAAAAGGGAACCGAAGGACACAATTAGACAAGAGACTAAAATACATCTTGCCGAAATCAGAAGATAATTCTGGCGTGGAAAGAGCATCAATGAGCAGTTTGTACTGAACATTTGTTCAATTATAGATGAAATTGGATTAAAGTGAAATTGCAAAAATACTTTTAGCATTGAAATTTTTGACAAAGAATAATTGAAATGTGGACATTTCAATGTGTTTCGAACTATGAAGTTAATTTTTGTGAAAATATAAATATGCAATATATAGATCTATAATTATGTGGCTAAAAGTTTATTCATTATGAATAATCCTGACACGTTTTTTCTGAGTCACCCGATATATACGATCTCACATAAATGCATTTTGATAGTTGGTGTACATCAAAGCAAAATAGACAACAGTAGAATATTCTGTTCAAATCAAAATCTTATACCATAAATTCAGTTAACAGATGACATTAACTGATACAAGAAACAAACATAATTTACAATGATAACAAATTAGGCTCCTGTCGCCTTTACTTAGTCAAATCATGATGCGCATGCTATATACATTTTAGCCAGGCGTAACAAGGATGTGGCATGTCATTTATTTCCAGGTATTCAGAGCTTTCTCTGAAGTAAGAGACAGAATGGTTCATAAATCTGGCTTCAAATTTCAATTCTGGTTGAACGTTGAAGCTTTTGAGTACATAAGAGATGATCCCTGTCTACCAGTAGATGTACCAGGCTCCGGAATGGCAGAACTATTGGACAGAACTTCCAAAGAAAGAATCGATAGATCATTAACTGTTGCTGGAGCTTTTACTCAGAAGATCATTTCCTTTGCTTGGGACTCGGACTATGTTTGTGTGTCCAAGAAATACAATGAAAGTTTAGCTTCTACTATCAGAAGAGACTATGGGCGACCTATTATATCAAATTGTTCTTTCCATTCAGCTTCAAATATGTCAGTGGTAGTTATCGGCTATAATCTTGCTGGATTGATGCAAAAGTTTCAGGTAAAATTGTCATTCAAATGGTGGAACATCTGAATTTGGTCAATTCGAGAGACAAAATTAAATGTTAAGGCAATTGAATCTTGAATAGAAATTTCCTTATTTGAACCAATAGTATTTGGTCCAGAGATTGTGACTCCATTAAGTTTGTGAAATGTAAAAGATGACAATGGTGGTGTACAGAAATGTTTTTCTAAAGAAAATAAAGACCTTTTTCTTCTTAACAGTCCAATTGCATAGGCATGCAAAGTCAAATTATATCATTATCATCATTTCCAATCAAAACAAACCCATTTATAAGAATTGTTGTTGTAGGTGAACTATCCTACAAGAAATGGTAAAAGGCAGGAGACTGAGTTATATGGATATTATTATGAAACAGATTATGGTGTTCAACATGATAGAGTACCATCATTACAGTATGTACAATTGTTTGATGTTCCTGATGTTTATACTAATCTAGCTATGAAAGGCTATGTTGAAGTGTTGGCTACAGGTTCCTATAATAAATGTGTGTTTGTATATGACTATTCCTAACGATAATAAAACACTACTAAAAACTTTCCTTCAATGATGGTGTTTATATCGAACTACGGGCAGAAACTTTTAAGATCAGCATATGTTACCAAGGAGACTTTCTGGATAGAGAAACCCCTTGATATAAACTATCACAGTGTGTTGGTATTGGATAAACAATTGGTGGTCAAAGGTTCCATCGTTCCTTATTTCCTCATCTAGTTGATCGAGCTGTGGTATTGATAATCTGGTATTGATAATCTGGGAATGATCATTGATAGGTGTGACAAGGGACATGCTGGTAGACAAAATCTTCAAACTTTATCCTTGATTACTAAAATTATTTCTTTCTTCCTCTCTTGCACAGCATGATCATAGATCGAAAGGTGCATACATGGGTAACAACAATATTTTGGCTTATAAAACAGACTAAACATAAACTCGGATCAATGTGTAATCTTTTTTAACAAACAAATGTTTAACAATGGGACAATAAGCTATATCTATAAGTAGTTAACATAATTTGAGACAAAATCAACAATAGAAGGCTTTATATATACTACATGAGTTCTAGAATAATTTTAGACAAAGCAACACTCTATAGCTTATCAAGCCAATTCGTTGACACTGATCCACTTATCAATAACACAAAGTGGTTGAATCAGGAATGTTGTCTGGCATTGAACATACAGCACCTTACAGAGAGTCCCCCAAACAACTCAACTCATTGATGACTTGAACTATAGTTGAGCAAAGAAGTTTGTGCACATTTTGGTATAATTCAAATCAGAAACAAGAACAGTTCATTTGATTTAAAGCCAAATAAATTTCAATGGTTATTGGTATTATAGAATCCAAACTAAAATTATCATTATCATTTAAACTAGAAATTAGTGACAAAACACAAGACAATATTATGGAACATGTGCCTAACCTTATAAAGTTAATATTGTCTTGTGTTTGGTTATATGTGCTCCTCGCTTCTATATGTTGTTCAAACAAATTAGTGGACTGTCTTGAATCATCACTGGATGTGTAGAAATATCTTGTGGACGCCTTAGTGATCCCACTGATGGTAGTAGGTAGGCTACTTTATCTTGATATAGTCGAGATATTGGTACACATAGGATGTGATTCAAAACATAAAAACAAGTAGTCCACTATAGTTTAGGTAGTTTCCATAGTAATGATCAAACCAGTAATCTGTCTTTTGAGAACTAAACAACCTAAAAATAAAATTGACTGCTCGTGTTAATGTTTTGAATGTTCACACATACACACAAATATCAATGTTTGCTTCACTAAAATAACTTGTTACTGACTAGAGTAACATAATGTAACCAACAAGTTATATATTCTAATTAATACTTATAGCAATATGATACATATAAGATATATATAGGTTGTTATACAAGTAGTTTGATGAAATGGGTTCTAATGAAACACAATCTCAGTACATCAGAGTTTTCAATCTTGAAAGTAAAAAAGATTTAAAATAGGCAATAAAAGCGTCTACTAACAAAGTCAATGCCTTCAGAAAAATGATTCAAATGTCAATTACAAACCAAATTTGCAACAAAAACTCAAAATAGTACCTACATCAAGGATTTTGGCAACTTGAATAAGCTAGTCATATAAAACAAATTACATGTACGAAAATGTGCATAGATGTAACATGGTTTAAAACATATTTTAAGATATTGAAACTAAATTAAACAGATGAGTTGTCAGACCCCAATGAAAAAAAAAACACTAAAGAAGGTTATAAGATAGCAAATTAATGATCTTCAAGCTTGAAGTTAGCTGCAGTAATAAAGGAAAATGGAGAAATGCAAAATATGAATATCATATATGAAAAATTAAATTTGAATCTCTTTAATTTGGAGTGCATATAAATAACTCCACATATAGCACTGTTTCATTTAAAAAAAATTCACTTTTAGATTTACAAAATTATGAACTCCTATGTGAGCCAATTACTATAATAATACATGATAAGAGAAGATATAGATATAGATATAAATGTAAATACAATAGAATAATATCTCCTGAACAATTATTTTTCTTAAATGCAACAGAATAGAACACATGATATTGTAACACATGAAATAATATTGTAACATGATATTATATAATAATGCACTATATTGTATAGTAACACATGAAAATATATTGTCACACATATCAAATCATAACATATGATATTACATAACGCATGTTATCATATTGTAACATGATATTATAACACATCGTATTATATTGTAAAACATAATATTAAATTGTAAAACATAATATTGTAACTAACATCTACTAAATAATGATTATAATGCTGTATTGTCTATATTTGCTTTTATTTTACATAACAGTGCTTGGAATAAAAAGACTAGGTTAAGAATATCTATTTTTTCATTGCAAGATCTTATCTAAATTCAGTTCCATAAAATAAGATCACAACAAAATCCTCTAAACATAATATCTACAGCTCAAGAGTTACTGCTTAAATACGCCACTGGATAAGCATGTCGCTTCATAGAATTGTAAAAGAGAAAGGGAATATTTTCAAAAATAGAAAAAGTCCATCAAAGCTTGGAGCTCCGAGCTATAGTGCCTGAAGTCTTATACAAGAAGCATTTAAGAGACATAGCACCATCTAAACATCTGATTTACCAGCATTATCCACATTATATTCACAAATTACAGAAGTCATGACCGCATTGGTTATAACTTCATAATAAGTGGAATTGATAACAGTCTAAGTTGCCACATAAAGTTTTCCAAATTGTGGTAAACAAGAGGCTCAATTTTTATTTTATATTTTTATGTAAAGTGATATAGATATCTGCTCTATGGAATGGTAAAGCAAATATTCAGATGAAAATGTTATTTTTATGTGAAAATACTGACTAATTTATCTTATAAATACTTGAACCTTTATACCTATTCTCTTAAAGAATAGATCTCTGGATGCATTTTTGAGCATAGTTATTGGAGTTTTATAAATATAGACATTTACTATGAGCAAAACAAGTTATTTATATCACAGTAGGTCCCTATTAGCCTGATTGTTCATATCTTATGATCATTGGTATATTCTAGCTTAACGTAACGTAATTTACCACACTATCAAAATTGAAATTTCATTGTTATGAGCTAATTCATATTTGAACATATTTGAAGTCAAAAAGCCGTACAGACAGACAGGGGCGACGACAAAAAACGTCCACATTTCCATGTATAAAAACAGCTCAATAATGTTTGGAACAAAAGTCAGATAAGACATTCAAATATTGCTAAATAACAAATCAAATTTTGGATAAATATGAACAATTTAAATAACAATGATAAGAAATTTTTTGGATGCTGTGAAAGCATAAAAACATGTTGTACAACATATATTAACCTATAGCAGACAATTAGAAAGGCATCCAAAGCTGAGGTATGATTTTGATAAAACATTAACAAAAGGTCACTTTGTATTTGTTAATGTATGAATATGGAACATCATTACAAGAAGAATGACTAACATTACAACAATATAGTCTTTTGGGTTTTTTTTTCAATTTAGTCTTTTCGAGGATCATCTTATTTCCCTTAAAACTGAAGACAAAATATGTTTAGGCAATGTGCAAGGCATCCTTTGAGACTACAGACAAGGTTTTGCACTATTTCCAAACCACTTTATAACACACAAAAAAATCCTAAATACTGAAAGTGAAGCAGTATACCACTTTTGCAAAATTATCAAAAAGAATCCCAAAGTTTAAATGCATGATCACATGTACATTATATGTACATAATTAATCTTAAATGCCAGCACTGATTCCATATATATGTATTTACAACAATGGCCGCATAAAATCAGAAAGTTTCTATTCAGAGGTCATACAACATTTATTAACATTAACTTAAACTTAAACTTTGTCAAAATTAAACTATTTATTGTTTTCTCTTAATAATCAGGCTCTTCATGGACATGTCTGCTGTTTTAATTTCTTCCATTAAGATATATATTTTTCTAGATATTTGATTTACCAGTGATAGAACTCTTTCTCAGCTGAACAAATCTTACATCTGTTTCCTGTACAATATGCACTAGTAGTGACTGCAGATCAGATTGAGTTCTAACTAGTAGCAAAACAAATATTTTGAACAAAAATTGTGTCATCAGGTCAAACTTGACTGTGGGATGTCGTCTGATCTTGAGCTGAAATCCAATTGTTGAAATAGTATACCAATAACCACTGTACTATTCTACATAAAACAACAATGTCAAAGATTGAAATGCAACAAGTCACTAAGTCTCATATAATTGTAAATCTAATTTAACTACCACTTCCCCACTATCTACTTCTAATAATGTTAATCTTTTAGTTATAGGACCTCTTCTAGCTTTACTTTCAGCTAATACTTCTTTCACACGGATTTCAGTTCTTCCTAGAAAATCTAAAAAAAAAAACACAACAAATAAAAAAAATAATAGTGATAAGATTGATTTACCACGAGATACTTGAAATCTAAAATTAAAACCATTTTTTAATTCTTTGCAGATGCATCATATGTTCAGTCATTTGTTTTTTTTTTTAAAATCTGGAAAGCTTATATAACACTACTTTACTTCTTATTCAATAAAATAAATGCTTTCAATCAAGTACTATAAAAAAAAAAGGTTAAATTACGTATATCTGTATGTGTATCTAATCAATAAATGACACAAAATCTAAAATCATTTTTCTTTAAGAGAAAGGTAATTTTCAATTAAAGCTATCATGTTCATTAAATTCAATTGGGAATGACCACAATACTTATAAGCAAAACATGGTAGCTTTAATTTTAACATTTTTTTTTTGTATAAGTTAAACCTTCTTGGAAAAAGCCATTAGCCATATGCAGTGACAAATTGGAAAAATTAGTTTCAGAGTGTGCATTCCCTGCTTAACTGGCAACAAGGACAGTAATTATGGGGAAAAGGTCAAATTTAGTCTTCAACTTACCATTTGGTGAATAAATATCTTGATCAAATACTGAGATACATAATACATCTTGATTTAAATCTTTTATAGTAAACTGCATGGAATTATTCCATTTAGGATTCAGAGTTCCTGGAACTACTTTAGTTCTGTGTTCTTGAGAACCCATACTCACTTCACAATATGGATCACTTTTACCTATAAATGGAAAATACATGAAACTTCATTACTTTATTAGACAGACATTTATAAAAACTATCCTACCTTTGAGACATGTTAGAATTTAGTGGACTTTACTTCAATCTGATAAAAATATAGATCTTGATGCATTGTTTTGAATTTTTTCCTTGAGTGACTCCATTCAAAATCTAGAATTAACTTGACATCATCTTACAAACAAGGCTGATACTTTCAAACTTTTAAAAGCAGGATGTTTCTTGAGTAAAATCCTATGAAAATGTGGCACCCCACAACATATTTCGAATCAACTTCATATTTGAAGAATGAAGTACTGACAAATAAATTTTTATACCAAAAGTTGGTTTTTGGGACAAATGTTATAATCATTTGTTTAAAATGAAGCCTAATGACAGTCTTCTTTGAAGTCTATTTCCTAGATACATGCAGTAAATATTAAAAGTTAAAAAATAAATCTCATCTACTCAGTAATAAAAGAATATTAAAAGTGCTACATTAATATTAATTTCATGCTTGATTATTATATTGATATGTCAGAATAATGATTTCATGCGTATATTTTGTTCCTTGTTAGAAGACTTGTGAGACAAGATACCTTCAGGGGCCTTCAATAGAGGCTGATAAAAGTTCAAAGTATGGTATCAAAGAGGTTCAATAAATGTTTATCATATATCTATATAAGGGGCCAAAAAGGTGAATTCTGAACTGTGAAAGATAATGAAAGAATAATAGAAAAAGGTGCAAATGACTTTGAGGGAACCATGTTTTTAATTCTGGGGAGTGTCAGGCAGGAAACCAGAATAATAATGCTGAAAGCGATACCCGGAAGGGAATCAAAATTTCAACACTGACGTCTGTACCAGTATGGGAGCCAGGTTTTCAATGCTAAAAGAATGTTGAATGCCTACCATTTTGGTCACTAGCTTTAAGATTGGAACCTTCTAATATAACCACTAGTAGCCTGCCTACACCAGGCGTTCTCCTCACTAAGATAGGGTGAAAGAAAAAAAACATAACACAAACTAAAAACATGCTTGGTGATGTTATACATGTTTGATTTTGGCCACTGTAATGCTTCATTTTTCACAGCAAATTTTTCCAATCAAATAAAAGTTTAGGTTTGAATAGATCAAGGGTTCAATCAAGATGATCCCCTTAACGAGAACATTTTAGAAAATAAACATCATGTTATTGTTTCATTTCTTTTAAATTTTAATCTTATATTAGAGATCGCAAACATATCAATTTTTTCTATTAACAGTTTAGAAAACAAAGCATCTCTGTGACCAAATATAGAAGTCATTCTAAAGAACAGGGTTAATGATGAGGTGAAACAAATCAACTATCAGGGTTAAACTTAACTGGAATTCTAAAATTGTGTAACTCATGCTGAAATTCAAACTGGTAAAATTATGGCCATATTTTGAAATAAAAAATCCAGAATCCGCAAAGACTCCTCAATTATAAAATCAAAATCTCACTGAACGTAATAAAATTACCAAATAAATATTTGCTAAATTACGGAGCCCCTAAGGCGCAATTGNAAACATATTTATTTATTATT